GGAGAGGAGTTCTGGAGACAAACCCGTCACCAGCTCGGGACCTTCAGCGGGAGACGGAGGTTCGAGGGGAATCCGACGTTTTCATTGGAGTCCTCAATTTAAATGGCGTCATTTTGTCGAGTTTTTCCTTTTGCTTTAATTCACGACAACAACGACTGTTTCAGAACCCGACGGAGGAAGCTGTCGGACCGCGTGTGGAGAAGGAGGTGACCGTTGAGGACATTGGAGACGTTTCCATAGAAACAATGGACTTTTCTGTGTGCTCGGTTGTCTTCTCAGCAGCTGAGACACCTTCACCGAACACTTTGATCTCCACCACGGAGACAATTAAAGCTTCCTTGAATGCTGCAGAGATTCTGTTCATTGGGTTTAAAGACATATGTATAAATCCAACCTGAGTGGTTTCTTGCCCATTTGGCCGATTGAAATGTACAAAAACTGGATGAATAATTTCGTCTGTAGGACGGAACAAGGGTCTGAGTCTCAGTACGCGGCGTCCTCTCTGCAGGGGGGCGCCGGTCTCACTCTCAGGAAACAGGCGATTGACAGCCGGACAGCCGGCCGCTTCGGGTTCAGAAATCTTATATATTTTTCTTTCCATTCCTTGAATCTCCGGCTGCCCGAGGTCAAAGGTCAACATCTGCTCCGAGCTCCTCAAAACACTCCAGATCCCTCGACCGGGACCCAGCGGGCCAATCGGAGGGCGGACTGGGACCCACAAGCGGAGGCGGCAAAGACTTCGATGTTGCGAAGTGACGCCGCGACGCCGCCGTCCCGTCACCATTTGGCCTCATGGCGCCATCCTCACGATTCCAACTTATGACGTCAACGAGTGACCTCATGATGCCACAAGGTCACATTACGATGCTGCTCATGATGTCAGGCTTTGAATCACATCCGCCTTATTCATTCGGTATTATATAGATATTTTACACACATATAAAATCATTTATATATTTATTGCGGTCCAGGAATTCTCAACTCTCTTATCAATAACTATCAATCCCGACAGCAACAATAGAGGCAACTTGATTTTAATAAACAACGCAATGAGTTTGGTGATTATGAAACGATTGATTTATTCAGTTTAACGTCATCAGTTTTGTCACGTGACTCGATCACAATCAATCTGAACTTGCTCGAACATTTTTTAATCCGACAAGATCACACGGATCTTTTTTCAATTTCCCCCTCGAGCCGTGATGCTACGCTGCGATGTGCTAAGCTAAGCTAAGCCCGCGCTGAGTTTGACCTCATGAGGTATTTGTCTTTGGTTTTGTTTCACAAGCGGAATGTGAAACAAACCAAAACCTTCAGGAGGTTCTTCTGCTCGACTCCTGGTCCGACCTGCTGCTTCTCATCAGAACACAGAGAAAGGTTGCTGCTCTTCACCCTCCTCCTCCTCCTCCTCCTCCTCCTCCTCCGTGAGCTCCGGCCAGGACTTCAAAGTGTGTGTGTGTGTGCAGATGAATGTGGGTCAGACATTAAAATGCATGAGCGGGGAGCAGAGAGCATGATGAAGTGCTGAGACACGAGGAGGAGAGAATATAAAAATAAGCGAAGAGGCTCTGAGAGAAAGTCTCCCAGCTGACACAACGCCGACGCCTCATTGGCCCAAAACACCATCCAGCCGACGCCTCATTGGTCCCAAATACCGAGACAAATGAAAAGAGGAGGCAAGTTGCTGGAGAAAAACCTCACGCTGACAATTGTTTTTACCATCTTTGTCCCTTTTCACGTCTCGTGCAGATTCAGCAGCCGGCCAATCGGAAGCCGCTCTGCATCCATCGAGTCAACAACTCCGGACAATCAGCCGATCGGGATGCAGCAAGAAAGCAGAGGAGACACGTCTGGAAGCTGCAGATTCACTTTAAATATCGCGACACGTTCCACCGGGAACCAGGAGGAGAGGAGGAGGAGGTTTGGTTGCTCCTCCTCCTCCTCTGATTGCATTGATGGAGCGACGCCGCGACAAAACGCGCCGGTGCGTAAACACGGGAGATATCGATGTCGCGTCGTTTCTCGCTCTTCATTACGTTTGATCGTGTTGAACAACATGAGCGATCGGCCAAAGAGTTCGAGCCTAACAAGAGGCGGCAGTTCGTTGCGTGATTTAACCATCGTCGTTACGTAAAATTACAACATTTGTTCTGTAAAAAAACTGTTTGTTAATGAAATAACTACTTGTGTCCTTAAATGACCTTAGAACGATTTTATTTTAAGCGGATTTATGTTTAGTTATAAGGAAATTTCATTATTTTATTTATTCTGACACACATGCTATACACACATATATATGGATAGACATGTACGCACATATAGATACACAAGTACATGTATATTTATACAAATATATATATTATGAGTGTAGATATTTACGTTTAGGCAAACAGGACAAAAATAAAACTCAACATTCGCTGAGGTGTATAAAGAGATGAATTGTTGACGTACGTCGCTTCAAACTGAAACAATTTCAGGTAATTCGAGTTTTTAAAAGTACAACGTGGGACTTTGACGGAATAAATAAATGAATAAATCTACAAACGGCTTTGAGATGAGGATGAAGTGAACGATGAACAGTGTGTCATTACACAGACGGTCATTTAATGTCACATCGGGTTTGATCGTATTTCATCACCTTGGACGACGGACAGAACACTTTGGTTTTATCGGACGTCAACATCGTGAGTCATTGACTCGTGTCACAAACAGGAATTTATGATCGGACGTTTTTTTTGTCTTCTTGCATTAATCGGCCCTCAAGCCCCAAAGACGCTCCTTTGTTTTCTGTCTCATATTTTTAGGAATATTACAACATCTGATGCATATTTCCGTCCAACGGGGAAGACGAGACGAGTTCCTCCAAAGTTTAAAGTTTCACTCGATAAAAACAAACGGTTGTGAATAGTAGGAATGCATTAAAATGACAAAGTTTACCTCGCAGCTCACACACACACACTGAAGTAGCACGAGGTCAAAGTACATAGTGTTTTGTTTGATGTGAAGTATTTTCACCGTATGCTGATGTAGTTCTGGGAATAATACCAAAGATTCATTCTCATCGATTAATAAACTGGAATTTTGATTTCGGATCTCAGCTGTGAACAAATGTGGTCGGCGGACTCACACTGTGGGGGGGGGGCGTCCCACAAGAGTACCGCAGGAAAATACTACGGGAATACTACAGAAAATACCGCAGCCATACTAGAGAAATAACTGCCGAATGTACTAGGAACAGGAGGAATACTGCAGAAACTATTGCAGGAATACTGAAGAGAAAGAGCAGAAAATACAACATCAATACTGGAAGAGTACTGTAGAAAATACTAAAAGGAAAACTGCAGAAACTATTCCAGGAATACTGATGAGAAACTGCAGAAAATACAACAAAAATACTAAGCGAAATACTGTACTGATACTAAAACTGTGAGAAATACTACAGGAACCCTGTAGAAATGACTAAAGCGTTACGGTAGAATACGCTACAGGAATACTGCGGGGACACTGCAGAGAAGAGAACATACAGGAACAGAGAATACTACCGTACAAGGTACAGAGTGTACTACAGGAACAGTGCAAGAAATACTGAAGGAAAACTGTGGGAATGTTGACGGAAATATAAAGGGAATTGTGTAGAATATAAGATGAGATTTACTTCATGTCCTGCAGGGACATTTGTCTTGGGCTCCTGCATCACAAGATCTACATGCGTGCACGGAACATGGAACATGGAACATGGATCATAGATCATGCATGAACACGCTTGAATACACATGTTGACAATAGTTACGAATAATGAAATAATAAAAGCAGGAGTGATCAACACCAGATGTTACTGTAGGAGAACTGTGGGAAAACTGCCAAACACCAAATGTACTGCTGGAGTACACGAAAAAAAACAACAGGAATTATGCAGAAAGTACTGCTGCAGTACCACAATGAGAATACTAGCGGAAAACTGCAGGAATACTACAGAAATAGTGCAACGAGGCTTACATCTGGAGGACCACAAACACACACACACACACACACACACACACAGAGAATGAAAAATGGAACATGTGTTTGTTCTTTAACTGTAACTTCTCGGATTTACTTCCTTCCTGCAGTAAAACCTCCAAAATAAAACTAAAACTCATCAAAAAAAGTGTTATTGGTCAGTTCAGAGGGAAAGAGTTCAGTTCTCATCCTGAAATATCACAAGAAAACGACAGAAGAGAAAACAAACGACATGTTGGTGTGAGGAGTCAAAGGTCACAGCAGGAGCCGGCGTGTGTGGGGGGGGGGCACTGACTGATCAATGATCTATTATTAGCATTAATAATCTCTCTATAATTTTAAGTCTCATTTAGAATTATTTTAAGAGAATAGGGTTGTTTTATTATTTTTTTATCATTAAGAAGGATTATTATGAATTGTTTAAATTACTGATTAACAGTCGCTGATATGGTCGCTGATTCTACTGATGAACTGACTAATCAATATTTTATAAAACGATCACTGTGACATCGTTTTCTTTGAGTACGTATGAATTGAATATGCTGTTATTGACTAAATTAAACAATGTTCGCTTTACAGATTTCACCGGATTAATTTGTACTCGTTTGTCAAAGACCAAAAATAAATCAATTTCAGGAAATAAAAAAATGCTTTTGTTTAAACAGCTTCAAATGATCATGTTCTTCATTTTAAATCTTATATTTTGAAAACGTTGACAGCATGAACAGAGACCACGTTGGTCCACATGGGTCCACATGGGTCCACCACACTGGTTTCTGAATGCAGATCATTCATCATTTAAAGTGTTGTTGTGATTTCCTTGAATCAGAATCAAACGTGCTTCTATTTTCAGAACGCAGATACAAAAACTGCAGAAAGGTCCTTTAAATGATTAAAACCCTCATTTAAAGTCAGCTTTAAGTCTCTCGGGTTTGCAGAACTGAACTAAAAGGATCAGAAGTTCCGACCCCCGGTCCCCCCCCGGTCCCCCCGGGTCTCACCTCGGGTTGGAGCTGTTCCAGAACACCGCGTACCGGTCCGAGATGAGCCGGTCGTCGGTGACGGCGGAGCAGACGCGGAGCAGGAGGCCGAGCAGCAGCAGCGACGGCGGCCGCCCGGAGCGCTCCATGTGCGGCGTGGCGGAGCGCTGCGTCCCGCCGAACATCCGGCTCTTCTCTTCAGCTCTGAGACCCGCACGGACCGGAACCAGAACACATCAAAAGCCCCCCCGGAGAGCCCCGCGGATCGCAGATCAATCACTTCTTCTTTGTGGCAATCAATAATCAATGTTCATCGCCGCTTCATTGGTTTGGACGGGTCGTTTCCCGGCAGGCTCCGCGGCGGTAATCCATTCTCCCGCAGGACAAACGGTCCAGAAGTTGCATGTCTTCAATTAACCAGAACCGGGTCGGATCCGCTGCAGGACCGCGTGCACGCAGAGACCCGGTCCGCCCATGTGCGTCCGGGAGGACTGAAGCCGGGAGAGTCCGGATCAGAGTCCGGATCAGAGTCCGGATCGGTCGCGGGGATCGGGTTCACGTCTTCAGCTGCGTGCGGGATCGCTCTGGAAGTTCAAGACCAGGCGGGACCACCGGGTCTCTGATCCCGCTCTCCGGGATCCCAGACTAACGAAACTTTCCGTGTTTCTCTGCGCCGCTGCAGAACAGAACCGAGCCGAGCAGAACCGAACCGAGCCGAGCAGAACCGAGCCGGGCAGAACCCGAGGAACGGGACAAAGAAAAGAGTTACTCAGAACTGCAGAAGGAGCGTTTGTCTCCGTCACCGGCTCCGTCCTTACTGCTCCTGGTGCGACCCGCGGGGGGCGGAGCTAGTAGTTCACGGGGCTCCCTCCTCTCTCTATTCCCCCCCCCCCCCCCTCTCTCTCTCGCTCTCTCTCTCTCTCACTCTCTCTCTTTTCTCTCCCTGTCTCATCCCATCATGTGGACAGGCGTCCCCTCCATGTCCATCAGAGCATCTTGTTTTGAGAATAACATCCTGACCTTCTGGTTCGTCCCAGGGGTCAAGGGTCAAAGGTCTTCCCTCACATGTTGAAGTGAGGCACTTTTCCACGCGAGGCAACTTTTTACTCGCTCTCCTGGTCCTGTGGACCCGCGTCAGATGATCTCCAGATGAAGCCCCAGGAGTGTGATCAGGACTCAGAGCGCCCCCTGCCGGACCCCCTCCGACGGGGTCCACGGTGACCACGCTTCCTGCAGAAGCTTCACAATAAAAGCCCGAAGGTAGAGACAGGATTTGTCCAAATATATATAATATATCCAAATATAAATAAGCATAAAAGCCCACATTTCACCCGTGGCGGATTTATATCGCTGCTCTTTCGTTGTAAACACGTAAAATACACTTATTACAATTATCACTTTGATCAAATGCATTAACAAAGTAAGTGTTGATGCTCCCGGGTCGGCTTTTATTATGAAACATCCGGACAGGAAGTTACAAATGAATCGTGATTCCTAAAAAAAATAAAGGAAAAAGAGATCAGTCGCGTTTCTATGCGTTTGAGCGGACTTCTATTGAATGTTTTATTGAAGGACGCAGTGACGAGTCTCCTCTCATCCAGTGATTCAGCACTCATACATGTTTCAACGAGGAAGAGGAGGAGGAGGAAGAGGAGGAAGGCAGGCAGAGAGAGAGAGAGATGAATCTTTAATTCTTGCTTTTAAAACAGGCTCACGGATTAATGGAGCTGCTCTATTAAACTTTCAGAGGGTCTCATGAATAAATGCAGAGCGCCGGGCGTTCGACGTCCACTGACCGCGGAGAGAGAGAGAGACACACGTTGAAACGTTACATCACTTGTTCCCACTGCAGCTGGATGAAACATCTGGTCACACATGATCCCAGGACCTCCTCGTCACACCTCTGGAGATGTTGGTTAAGGGCCAGTGGTATTTCAGGTATACTGACACCTGGTTGGCAACCAGAGAAGAGCTGGTGTTCTGCTACCAGTACTTATACTTATACTACAAGTACAACTAGTATTCCTTCCACTGTGCTACTACTTCATTCCAGAGAGCCAGTGGAGCTCTGAATTAAAGGAGAATTTGATTCAAGTAGAAAGATTAAGTTTCAGTTAATTGGCTCATCAGTTAATTAAGTGTTGATTAAGTTGTGATTGGTTGGATACTTTAAACTCCGCCCCTTTAATGACGAAGCGACAATGACCAGATTTATAAACTCTGGTTGATCTACTGAGTTGAGGTTCTGGTTTTTAGTCCAACCAGAAGATAAGCCAAGGACCTGGTCCAGGGTTCGGGTCCAGGAACCCGGTCCAAGGACCGGATCCAGATCCGATATCAAAGTCGTCCTTCTTCACTAGTTTTGAACCAAATCTGAGGCCTCTTGGTGTTTTTTTGTCAAGACTGTTTGTCCTTGCTGAAGGAGACGGTCTCTGCAGGAGTCCAACGGACGGACGCACGGACAAAAGAGTTAATGGACTGTCTGCTGATTCGTCCATCAGCCTTTAATTGACCCTCTGGCGGTTTGTGTGTTCGTGTGCTCGTGTAGCTGTCTCAGTGTGGACCTCTTTGCGCCCTGAGAAGTAAGGACACGTCGGCTGGTCTTCAAACTTCAGCTGCACCTTCAGAGGAGGGCGCTGACAGGTTCTGGTTGGGTTCTGTGTTAGAACCTCCCCCCTTTGCCAAGGGGCACAGAATGCATGATTAAAATGAGCGTCCTCACCATCATAGTTGTGTGCGTGCGTTTCACACGTGCTTTTCCATGTCATTTAAAACTAAATTAAAGGGTTAATTTGCAGCTCGGCGGTTTATTCACGACCCATCGCGCGCGAGCAGAAGTACCTGGCGGCCGGCCGGAGGACGCCGCGGCCCCGGCGGGGTCCCCCGGCGGGGGCCGCGGCGTGTTGATGGGAGGCCGGTGAACCGAACCGGCGCATAATCCGCCTTTTAGGCAGAAGCGGCGGAGCTGTCAGCCGGATGCAAAGCAGCCGAGACGTCCGGTTCAAACCCACGATGCACCTGTCAGCCGGACGGCCATTAGCCGCACGCTGAGACTCTCCTCCTCCTCCTCTTCCTCCTCCTCCTCCTCCTCCTCCTCCACGCGTGACTGCTCGTCGGGGCTCCACGCGGGTCCAGCGCGCCGTGTCCGCATCAGCTGTCCGGCGGCCGTGTGGCGCTTGTTTACGGCGGTCACTGCGGGGGGGGGCCGCCGAGCGGAGGACGAGCAAATGTGGAGGAAGAGATTGGCTCGGAGGCGGTTAGCTGATGTCTTTTGGGGGGAAGCGGCGGGCGGAATTAGCATTTAAAGTAGTTGCCCATCGGGGCATTAGCACACCTTGTTGAGCTCAGCCAATATGCTCCCTGCTGGTCCCAGAAAAGTGCAGAAATATCAAAAACATCACTTCACAATCACACGTTGTCAAATGTGTTCTCATTAGCTGGTAACTTCAGACAAACCGTCTGGACCTTAAGGCCTTAAACGGGTCAGATGGTTCCTGGAGCGGTCGGGTCAGACCTCCACTAACGGGGTGGTCGGCGTTTTGTTTTTCGACTCTCCTCGGCGGGGGAAATGGACTGAAGGACGTTCACGGGCCGGCGTTGAGACCCACAAAGGTCCCGAATGCTCATCCAGTGTGGAGATCGGCTGCCGGGCGCCGGCGTTAGCTTAGCTACAATGCTATCCGGCGCTTTGACATTGACCGGACTCACGTTTCAGTCCTTTAGCCTGAAGGGAGGTGGTCCCGATCCATTGACTTACACTATCATCACTAAAATCAACTGCATGGATGCTGCAGGAGACTGAACGGCGGTGAGCGGGAACCTGAGCCAACAGTCTCTACCAACGCCGGCTTCCCGTCTCAACCCAAAACCATCAGAGCAAGTCGTTGAGCGGGAGACAACTTGTGGAAAGCTGAGACGATGCTTCATGTGTTGCATTCTCGCTGCCTCCCACCAGGGGGCGACTCCTCTGGTCCAATAGAAGCCAACGAGAAAACGACTTCTCTCTTGAATTATTCCCCCAGTAAACGTTGGAAACATTTACACGTGACAGCTTGTGGTCTCGGTCTCTAGTTTTGAGTCTTCTTCAGTACGTGATGTTCATTTGGTCACTCCTCCTCTGTCCCAATGTGGTCGCTTCTTCTCCGCCGGTCCCGAAAACAAAAAGTTGGCGACGGACAACACCGAGCATTTGGCACTCTGAGAGACTCGTACTTTTCTTTCCGCTCCATCTCAGCGGTAAAAGTGTACTTTTTATTGCATCAATTAACTGAGGATTATTTTGTTCTTTTACCAGCTGCAACATAAAGTGATGAACACTTTCTGATCAGAAAGCTGCTGCAGTTTGATGTTGGCGTTTCAGTTATTCTGTTCCTCCAAGAATGTGTGTGTGTGTGTGTGTGTGTGTGTGTGTGTGTGTGTGTGGAGGATTATGTTAAACGTTTCCTGTCTGACAGCCATGTGAGTCGACCAAGCTGGCGTGCTGGCGTATTTTTTTACCCACAATCCCTCTTTGTTCTGCTGTGTGTCACCGGTTCAACATGGGGGGGTGCAGGGGGGGTTTGCAGGGGGGGGATAAGATACGCATATGAAGTTCCTTCAGTCTGTAAAGCTTCAGCTCTCTGATCGCTTCACTTCTCCCGTTTCATTGTCTTCTTCTCCCTCTTTGAGGTTTAGTTATTGATTGACTGATTTAATTGATGGATTATCGGATAGAAAAAAAATGCTTTTAAGGAAAAATATGTCACCTCAAATAAAGACTAAAAGTAGTTCCACACTAAAAAACAGGGAATCTGTTCACAGGGGAAAAGACTCCAACCATAAAAAGAAGATTTAAGATTCAAAAGTGTGAAGATTCTGAAAAAGGTTCCTGTTTCTGGAATTTATTGATTAAATCAGAAAATGTTTAATTCTTTGGTTTTAGTGATTTAAATCATAAGAAATAAGGTATTAGTACACAGTACTCATGTTATGTAGTACATAGCATCCATATGACTTATTAATACACATCATTAAGGTAATAATAGATTATTTATATTATGTAATAATATACAGCATTCGTTATATTTTTTTAGTAGCTTACACGTGATTACGGGATTAATACAGTATTCATATCTATTAATACATTAAATTAAGATATTAATGCATAGTATTTCTATAGTGAATTAATACACAGTATTCCTATAATGTATTGATGCAGCATTATGGTATTTAAACAGTATTCGTAAAATGTAATAATTCACAAATTGGATGTATTAATGCACAGTACTAGTAAATTAGTAAACAGCGTTTCTACTATGTATTAATACACAGCATTCATGAATTAATAGTTTTCCTACTATTTTATTAATACACAGAAATAAGGTATTAATAGAACATTCCAATAATAATACACAATATACACAGCATTTCTGTATTAATACAGTATTCATATAATATATTGATACACAGCACTAATGTATTAATACACAGTATTGCTAGAGTGTACACATTTGGCTGTATTTATTGTCTCCTGTCGTGGTAACATTTGTGTTTTGCTGCCACCTGCTGGTTCTGATCACAAAACACATTAATAAAATACTGTGAAATCTACAGTATTGCGTTAAGTTTAGATTCTTTCGAACAGTAAAATCTGCATTGAAATCATGCCAGAAATATCAGTCCAATGTAGTAAAACTATTCAGAACTGTGACTTTGGTACTTTAGTGTATAATAATCATCAGTATTGTTACTAATGCAGTACTGTAAAAAAAAACAAGTTCATCGTGAACTATTAATGATCATTTTCATAAATTGAATGAATTGCTGTTTATTTTCCACTAGTAATCAATTGAAAAGACACCAAAACTACACAGAAACCAAAGCGACACTTTTAGACAAACATTCACACAGTTTTTAGATAAAAAGTGATTTAATTGTTTTTTTTGTCTTTGTGACACAAACAGTCAAAGGCTCAGAATCAAAATATACATCAGATATAAAACCACCAATCAGCTCGCAGACACAGAAATGTGCCCTAAAACATGATTCAAGTTCATCCGCCTGCGATGCATTCAAGTCACCCGGGAGGAAGCAGCCTCGCCGTGTCCTGGACTTCTTGTCCCCCCCCCCCCCAAAAGAAACTAATATTTACAGCCAGCAGACGCTTTATAAATGTATTTATTGGTCCCCTGGATCTGAGCGGCGCTCTGACCCGTCAACATGACCTTCACCGAATTAAAAAAAGAAAACACAGGAGGAGGAGGAGGAGCCTAAACACGGGCACCGCCGCACAAACGTCCTAGGCGCCTTGAATGCATCACGTCGGGTCCAGGCTGGAATGTTGGCGTGATAATATTAAGACAAAGAAACCAAACCAGCACCTCGTGGTTTCAGTACGTTTGTGACGGCCGCAGGTTTCTTCTTCTTCTCCAGACTTCCATCTGGGAGCGAAGAGGCATCAATAGCTGATGCCGGTCTGGGAAGGCACGCCTCGTTACATCTGCCTCGTTTCCACAGAGGGCCGGAGTCACGGATGGAAACAACAACCCCCCCCCCCTCAGTAAAACACCCGTCAAAAGCCCAAACCAGTTGAGCGTCTTCCGCCTCCTGCTGGTTTGGTCCTCTGACCATCAACCTGAGGCGGTTCGTTTGCATCTAAAAAGGCCGTTTTTGGTTTCAGCTGTAGTGGATCACAACACTAATAAATAAAAACCGTTCGGAGGAGACGTGACGACGCACAGAAATCTAAACAGAACACCACAGAAACTAAAAAAAACAAAAAAACAAGTTAAAGGTCAGGAATGATTAAAATATTGCTACAATGTTTGATTTGAATAAAACGTGATTGCGTACATAGAAAAGAAATCAAGAAGAAAAGGGCATCTAAAAAAAAGAAAAGAAAGTCAAAAGAACGGCAAACCGGCCGAAAGAGTTCACATGTTTGTCGCCGCCGTCGCCAGCGGCACCAAACAACACCAATAAAATAAAGATATATATTTGTAACACAACAGTAAACCGTTACCAACTGTAAACCTGCTTCCTGCCAGCTCAGAGGCACGGCGGGAGATTTGACTTTAATGTCAGAGTCAAGGTCATTGTGTCTGCAGGAATAAGGCACAGATGAGGGGGGGGTACTTTAAACTCAAGGTTTGCTTCGAATGGGAATCTTCAGTGGGAAGAGGATTAGGACCACAGGAAAACTGAGATTATAGAAAGAATTCGGAGTTAATAAAGTCGGGATTATGATAAACTGAGTCTGCATTCCAGCGGAATACGTTTAGAAGGCCGAGTCTAATTCCTTGATTCTCGGATTAAAGTCAAAAAGGAAAGAGTGGCGAAAAAGCAACGACTTCAAAACGAGAAGGACACGAATACACAAACTCAACAACCCTGACCGGGACCTCGGGATGGAGACAGGTGGTTTCTGATTACGACGTCTGATTGACTCCAGAATTCTTGCTTCCTCCACATGGTTCTCAAAATGACCTAAAATCCCCCCTAAGAAACTAAAAATGAGTTTAAAAAAAAAATAAGTTAACATCACGCCGGGCTTCCCGGTGGCTCCTGCAGACCGGCGGGAATGACGGGAGTGTAGTGGACACCAGTGAGGGGGGGGGGTCTGGGGCTCAGATGGAGGACTTGGAGAAGGAGACCCGCAGGTGGTGGTTCTCCCCCAGGTCGTGGTTGTGGAACTCGATGAGCGCCTCGAGCGCCTCCTCCACCGAGCCCATCTGGATCAGAGCCATCTTATGGTCCTTCCTGAGCGGGAAACAAGACAAAGACACATGGAGGAGTTCAGGGGATAAAGGGAGTAAAGGGATAGGAGGGAGGAGTCAGAGAAGGATGACTTACTGGAAGAACTTGAAGGCCTTGACCATGGCTCCCGGAGGTGGAGAACAGCATCTCAGGGTCGTCCTCCCACACCAGACGGGCTGGGAACACAAGGGAGCGTCAGAGAGCCGCGGAGCATCCCAGTACCGCGGCGGGTCATTTACTCCGGGGGGTGAAGGGGGGGGGGGGGGGCACTTACGGGATGTTGGACAGGTGCAAGGTGGCCGAAGGCGGGAAGATGTTGGAGTAGTTCTGGGAGCCGGGCTTCTTGAAGCGGTGCAGCGGGGAGTTGCTGTAGTCCTTGGTCAGGCCCTGGTCCTCGTGGCCTTCTCGGGGCAGCTGCACGCTGGTGTGTTTGGACGGCGTGATGCGCAGAGACTTCCCGTGCAGCTGCTGTCCACTCAGGTGGCTCATGGCTGCAGGGGCGGGAGGTCAAAGGTTAACCGCTGACCGACGGGATCACTGGAGTTAAGACAACTTCAGCTTGTTCCACTAAAAGGAAGTTTGTGGTTACCTAGCTGAGCCTGTGTGCAGTCCGACATCTGGACCAGAGCGTTCTCCTTCTTGTTGAACAGAATCTTGACTCTCATCACGTCGCCATAAACACCTTAACGATGCAGCCAGAAACAACAACAACAGGTTAAATTCTCCTCAAACAGGAAGCCCGACAAGCACAATGACGTCGACTCGGTTTTAACGCAACTGACTGCAGCCGGCCAGGCCGCTATGAATTATGGGAGTGTGGGCGAGAGGCTGATTCAGGAAGTCTGGACATGCAGAAGAAACCCAGCATGCAAACACGTATCCAAAGCCAGATGGAACACAATAAATGCAGCTTCCGTCAAATGTGATCGCCGTGACGACCGTGACCGTCCTCCACGTGATGGAGGCGAGGTTACACGCGCCGCACTCCTTCAGAATAAGAGGCTGTGATGGCCAACGTGTGAGTTGAAGCACAAGATCTGAATGTGGCTAAAAAACGACTTTGACAGCTTATTTCACACTAAATATAATGATGTAATAGAACTCCGGATTCTTGTTATTCTCATCAGTGTCATTATTATTAATTAAGCTTTCTGTTATCCCTATTTTAAGTATGTTGTATCGTTAATCACTTTTTCATTATTACCATTTTATTATCATTAGTAATTTTCTTTAATCTATTCCTTTATTATTATTTATCACTATGAAAGTATTTCTGACTGACTGATTATTATCAGCGTCACCAGACTGAAGCTTTCTAGAATCGTTATTTATTCATTTAGATATTGATATTTCTATTCTCATAGCATTTTTGTTACCATGTAAATGCGTAATAACGTGTCTTCATTTCGCTCTAATTTGGCTCAACACACACGAGGACTTTTGAGAAGCAGAAACCTTCTTTAACTTAAAAGAAACTTAAAAGTTGGATCTAAAACCCAAAAAGAAAAAAAAGCTGCAAATATTGTGAATGGACTCAAATCAACATGCAGAATGTGACTAAAGCAAACTCATTACTTTTCATTAAAAACAAATGAAAAAGAGAAAAAACTACAACATGAACTTAATATCAGAACAACCGCGTTACTGAAATTTCAAAATAAGAAGCGAGTGACAACATACCGAAGAGAATAAAGAGGCAGTGGGGCGTAACTCTCTTTAGAGACAGCAGAGAAGGCAGTGGAGGGACAGGACAGGTAAAGGTGGGAGGGCAGGACAGGCGGAGGGTCCGAGCCGTTTCCATGGCAACAAATTAAACAGGGGAAAAAAAGACAGGTGAGGGGTCAATCAGGAGGTTAATTACCTTTGGAGAGGAGGTAGCATTTGATAAGACAGGTGAGTGTGTGTGTGTTGATGCTTAATGTCAATTCAAAACATTACAGATGGTGGTAAAACACAGCGCTTTGCGGAGTGTGTGCGTGTGTGTGTGTGTTCACGCACTTTAAATGCAATTGTTGGTATTAGTTTCATTATATTACGCTACTTTGGTATTTGTTTATTTTAGGTTTTCTTACATTAAAGTCTAAGATAAAAATCTCCTTTAAAAAATAAAAATAAAAAAATTAACAAATTGGAAACAAATATGACAATAAACAACGCTATCCCACAATGCACTGCACAAAGAAAAAGCAGGAAAACAGATTGCTGCTGGTTTTGAGTTTAGTCGTTTGAGGAAACAACAAATGTAGCGGTAAGAAGCAGGAGAGGACCGCGACGGCCGGGCGCAGTGAAGGACTCACCTCAGGGTTCAGGTTGCTGACCAGCAGGACTGAGACTCCAGCAGACATGTGGTGGAACCCCAGCCTGGCGGCCCCGGGGAGGGACAGGGAGGCCAGGGCCCCGGGCATAGCGGGGACCAGGCCTGGATAGTGGGAGGACACTGGGAGAAGTGGGACGAGCATTACGACACGCTCGTTCCTAACAAAGGCAGCATGAGCACGAGATGCGATGCGATTGGCTGTCAGGAGTTTACAGACTTTTAAAAAAAGAAAGGAGGAACATTGTGCAGCATTCAGACGCACCTATAGGTAGAATATAGGACATTATATTAAGTTAGCCGTTTGTGTCTTTGTTTCAAACCAAAGGTCTCTACGCACGAGGGAGGTTTGGGTCAGTTCTCTACGAAGACGTCACGCGTTCACTTACTGGCCGGCTGGAGGGTGAAGGCCGGCTGGAAGCCGTGAGCCGCGCCGCCGTACGGTCCAGCTGAGATGATCCCTGGAGCTGCAGACAAGAAACAACACCTGAACCGCTGCTTCGAGACCATCGGAGAAACTGTAGAAAAGTTGTGTCCTTATCTGTCGTTTTGTTATTTGACCCTCCTGTTGAATCGTGTGTGTGTGTGTGTGTCTGGGGGAGGGGGGGTTACTTACTGAAGGCGGTGGCCATGGCCGGGTGCTCCATGCTGGGCTGGCTGTCCCCGGAGGGCAGGTCGGGTCGGGTGAAGTCGCGGCTCTTCTCGTTGTTGTACTTGACGTTGAGGGTGGTGAGTTTGGAGAAGCTGATCCTCAGAGTGCAGCAGCCGTTGTAGATGTTCTGAGCGTCCAGAGACTGAAGCACAGACAGCGGCAGGTCAAGCCCCCAAAGAGGAGGTACGTGTGTGTGTGTGTGTGTGTGTTGCTCACCAGCTTGGCGGACTGGGCGGAGGCTCCCTCGGCGTACTGCAGCAGAGCCTGGAACTGACTGTTCTTGGTGAAGACGATGATCCTCAGCACCGTGCCGAACTTTGAGAAGATCTGAGGACGAGACAGGAGACTGATCAGTTAAATGTCCCCTCTTGTGTCTCCTGCCTGTGTTGTTGTTGTTGTTGTGGCAGGTCAGCGTTTACCTGGCAGAGCGCGTCCAAGGTGACGGGGTACACCAGGTTCTCCACCACCACCCTCAGCACGGCGCTCGGAGCCACCATAGTCGGGTCCACGTGAGAAGAAGTGAGGGCCCGGAGAGCAGCCTGGGCCCTCTGAGAGGGGACACGGGCAAGAGGAACACATGCTTAGAATGGGTGGGCTTAGAAGAGCTGCTCACGAGGCATCGACCCGTCGCCGGGAGGGAGTCGTACCTCCTGGTTGGGAGAGTTGTCGGTCTTGAGCTCCTTGTGGTTGGAGAACTGGACGTAGACCAGATGGTTCCTGATGATGGGCATCACGGTGGAGTAATAACCCACCATGTTCTGCGCCGCTTCCTCCGAGTTCATCTCCAAGAAGGCCTGAAGGGGGACAACGCACAGATTAGTAGAGACAATTCACCGCAGACAACTATTGTAAAAGGGGCGGAGCGTTTTGGACAGTTGGTCACATCTTGGCGACTGAAAGTCCCGCACCTGGTTTTTGGCTTTGAGCATCAGCAGGTTGGTGATGTCTCCGAACGGCAGACCGAGGCTGATCACCTCGGCCTCGGAGATGTCGTTGGGGAGCTTGCGGATGTGGATGACCCTGGACGGCACCCCGGGGCCTCTTATGTCACCTTTGAACTTCTTACTGTCGTTTCCATTGGCTGCAGAGGACGGGAGACAACGACAGCGCGTCAGGACGAGTTATTTCCTCCACACTGCCGCCGTACGGACAACTTAAAAGTACCCGACCTGTGGTGCTCATGATATACGGGCCGATGGAGACGCTGGGGAAAGTCTCTTCAGATCCTCTCTGAAACACAACAACATCAGCGATTCATATTTAGACGCTGAGAAGAAGTGACAGGAAACGAAAGGTTTGTTTGTCTCTGAGCTGCAGTCGTTCTCAGGGAGACATTCATGCGGATTGACTGCACCTCGTCCATGCTGACCGCTACTAAGAAACGATACGTCTGAGAGCCCGAGAGCAGACGTGATCTTTCCTTTGAAAAGACAAAGCTGAAAGCAGGAAATCCTCACATTCAGAGGCTGGAGACACCACCGGGGGGCAGCAGAGAGCCACGTGTCCCACGCAACGCCTTCTTGTCCTTTTAACGGTCAGCGCGAGACAGGTCAAACTTCTTTGGAGGGGCGGGGGGGGGCAATGGAAACCAGATGGAGACAAAGTCTTATTCTGAAGACAAACAGTTGTTCTGCTGTTCTCGCTCACATTCTGCACAAAAGGCTGAGAAACCAAAGAGACATTAAAAGTAGGACACAAGTCCTTTAACCACCGTGAAGAGACCTGCTGCCATTAAAAGAACTAGTATTTCCTCCATGAAGCAAACACCACGTTAGAACATCTGCAGACAGCCCTTCTTCTGAGGTATTTAAGTAAATGTGTTGCTTTTTGGTAACGTCATATTGATTATCGGACTAAATGCCGACCGGAGAACGAGATGAACAGCTACACTCGTGTCCCTGAGCGGCCGGCGGTTTCCTCTGAACAAAAGCAGCTCGGATCTCCTTACAGCGCCGCTCATGAATAAAAGAGCGGAAACCTGAGTCCAGGTCTCTGGGCCTGGATGTGCCGTCTGACAGCTGCTGACCGGTCTGTCTCACGGAGGACGGACGGTCTTTACCTGAACACCCCCCCCCCCCCCCTCGCTGACTGGCTCTACGTCAAATCCCCAAACCTCATCGCCCCCTTTAGTCCAGCTGGAGACCTTCAGCAGCATCACAAACCTAACAACCCTGTGATAAACACAACTCATCTGTCAGTACGTTTCATTGTCACGGTGACCTTTGACCTTCATAATCTCTCAGACCAGGACGATTGTGCCAAAAGTCTAGTTGTTTCTGAGAAAATTGTATTCATGAGAAGTTCCTCCATCTGCGGCTGAAAGGAACCTAAACTGCTCCTTTAAGAGGATCCAGTCGTTCTTCAGAGGTTCAGGTGACTCGCCGGAGGAAAAATGTCACCTGTGATCGTCAAGAGTCCGCCTCCCTCCCGCCACTTCCTGCTCATGTGGTTTTGGCTCAGATTCTGGTTTTGGTCGTAAAATCCCCAACTCACATTCCTTTGATTAGTATGCGAACCAATCAGGAATGTGAGCAATGGCTGCTGGGAAATCAGACCCAGAAATAAAGGATTTATTTCCAGACTTTTCTAACAGAAAACACCAGCAGCTGGACGGCAGACCAACAGAGACCGAACCCGTTAGCCGAGAGACGAAGGTGAGTCCCATGGCACCGTGGTCATCGTCGGCGGAGGAGCAACTCCACACACGAGTCTCAGTCACTTAGACAAAAGAGCCGGGGCCTCGGGGGCGTTACGCAGGCGTTATGCAGTAGTGAAAGCAGCGAAGGCGGAGTAGTAAAAGCAGGTCCTCCTTCTGCGTTTCTGGTGGTGAAAGTTGTTTCGGTATTTATAATCAAATGTGAACTGACTTTCACAATTAAAGCCCTAGCAAGAATATATCCGGCCTTCTCAACAACAGGAACGCCTTTAATGTGAAAGGGAAGCAACAAACATGACATTCAAAAAATGTGCAGGTCTGCCTCCATCTCAGGTGCACGGAGGCCACGCCCACCACAGGTGATTACAGCATTGAACGAGCAGGCTCAAGTAGAACCAGTGACACCAGAGTAGACAAACTGGTTCCCGTTTCCTGATACTCGGCATGTAAAGATCTGATAACCTGACCGAGGCTGGATGTTAAAGTCGGTTTGTCCAGGCCGGAGATTATTAATCAATCAATCAATAACAAGTCGCTCCTGTCCACGGACCAACTGACGAATCCTTCATTCAGCTCTAATGTCCGAGAGCCCTCGAACGCAACAAAAACACCACTACATGAAGGCGAGGGACTCCTGACTGACTGAATGTCTCATGTTACAGGAGCTGAGGAAGAGCAGGAAGGTTCAGCAGCAGCAGCAGGAGGAGGAGGAGGAGGAGGGAGGAGCAGGTGCCTACCTTAGTACCAACTGTTAAATCTTGGTGGACACTGCTGTGAAGAGAAGACAGCGTGTTAGAAGCAGCAGGGAGAAAAACTTAAAACAAACCAACAGTTAAAATGAGGTTGAAGCCCGAGGAGACGAGTGAGCGGCAGAGGAACCCAGCAGAGAGGACGGGGGTCAACCAGCTGACTGAGGCGATGCGTTCACTGTCATCACGTCACAAGCGTGAGACGAGGTCTTACTGACACTTTGGTTCCTCGTCTCTCTGTATGGAGACGGGTTGATTCTGAAGGAATTGATTCAGGGAGGTGTTCCCTTTAATGAGCTGATCATATTTAATGATCACAGCGATGACGTTAAACCCTCGGCTCAGTCAGGGTGGAAGCGACAGACATTCGCTCCAATGATCATCGACACGGAGCAAAGCAATAAGCTTCATTGAGCCACCACAATCGCTTTTGTATTTATGGTTCACCACTTGAAAAAAGCCATCGTGAGGTGTTAATAATTCGATATGAGGCTAAAACGCCCTGCCCCATGTATGTTTATTCATTAAAAAGGGTACCAAAGAATAAGGAACAGGAGTAATTATTAACTTAGTTCTGCTTCCAGAGATCAAAAAGGTCAAAATCTTTGGCTTTTTGACACCGTCAGTAGCAGGAATAACATTATGTAAAGAAATAGATTAACCTTCAATTGTTTTTGCAGCTTGAGATGTTTGACAGTTCTTCACAGAAGAGAAAAGTCTACATAGGAGAGGATGGATGAATCAGTTAGTATCAGTGGGTCCTGCACGACGACAGAAACATGCATCCACATCAGAAACGTGATTCTACTCTCAGGTTGTGAAGTGAATCCGAGAGTAAAGTTGTGTTTTCTAGAACTGAAACAATTGGAAATGAATCAGCAACCATTAATGGAAAATGTATGAATAATTTCCGAGAATATTGTGATTTCAGCATGTGAAGTGTTTCTAGCTTTTCTTTGCCATATTCAGAAACCATTTGGTCTGTCGGCCAAACAACATTTCAGGACGTCACGTTTCATTGAATTATTTATTGTAGATTCATTGAAAAGAAAAGAACTCTGTCTGCATCTCGAAGAGGAGGAAACACACATCCGTCATCAACATCTGAACTCTGACGCTAAAACAGCAGCTAACACGCTGGAGATGTAAAACTTGTGTGGAGAGTCGTTGATCTGCTGGAACTGAAGTAAGGGGCGGCCATTTTTACGTGTTGGCGTTACCACGGTGACCGCTGTAGAGGCCACAGGTTAATGTGACAACGTGATGCTTTGTCGTAGCGGAGGAGAGAACAGCGAAAGAGCAACAACTAGTCAGTAACCAGGGAAGCATCAACGCCTTCTGGATCTACTGAGCTAGCTAGCTAGCTAGCTAACGTCTTCGCGGGCGAGCTGCGACCCTTAAGAGGCCCCGACTGACGTGTGCCGTTACCATGACAACGAACACTGGTCGCCGCCCTGGCAGCCACGTGACCAAAGACGACCGTACACATCCATGTTTGAGAATCCGATGCATGGACTTTGTGTTTTGGTGCAAAACAATAAACACAATGAGGGGAAATGAAAGATAAATATCAGGATCGTTCCCGGAGGGTCCGGGTTAGATTCCCCCCAGGATCCGCGGGGTGCACTAAAGACAAACGCTCCTGACGTGTTAATTGACTTCAGATGTTACGTGTCACGTGTACGGACTCCAAGACAGCGGCTGACAAACCGGCTGTTCGGGCTGAAGCTGATGTGAAACACAGAAAGTGAATCAGCTGGAAGACCCTCGGGGCACCAATGGGCCCCAACAACGCACAAATATTCACTGCAGGAACTCAAACGCCTCCAATTTAACTGTGGAGAAGGAAAGGAAAAAAAAAAAGCAGTGGAGACAACCAACTGTGCTCGGAGTCGTAAACGCTCGCCGACTCCTGCAGGTGAAAGACAACTAATATATCGATGCTTATTGGAATCAATGGAGAACAGACTTTGAAAGCATCAACAGGAACTGCAGACAAACGGGTTGCTCGCATGTTTCCTTCCCTTGACAACACGTGATGACTTTAAACCCCAAACACCAAGAACGTAATATTTAAAAACTTACATTCAGCACGAAATAAGGAACACACAAACCTCACAGAACACAACTGCACGTCTTTAACCAACACACACACACACAGGGAACTCTATTCAAATCGGCACTTTACTAAAACTACACTTTCATAACAGACTCGTAAATAAAACCGCTTTCCGCCCAAAACATGAGTTATTCCAGGTCGTTAATGAGCAATCTGAAGTCCTCATTAAACACCGTCATGTTTTACTTCTCCTCCGAATACTCAGATCAACGAATCCACAAGAACACGAGGTGTTCACCTTAAAGGAATTGAGTGGGACAAACAGTTTAATAACATTGAGCAGCAGAATCGCCGTACAACATTAGCTTTACATTAGGTGACGCTTTACCGGATTTTGCACGTCGCTTAGCCACAAACACCCATAACGTATTAATGAATCACATCCCATTGTGTCGGGCTTGGTGTTAAATAAGCAATCGCGTTCCGCAGATGAACGACGCCTGGATTAGAGGCCAGTTACCGGAGTTGAAGTGTGGAGTTGTGTCTCTGCACCGAGGCTAACGCGGTGAGCTAACGCGGCTAGCTTCCCGCTAACACCACAAACACAACTTCGTCGACAGTTAAGCGACCAACGCGAACACCGGCGGCCCCTCTGGTTCACGTTGCGTGACGACGCGCTCGCGGGGGTCGTTCTCGCGTGTGACTAAAAGGGGCAAAAGACAACGCCGAATGCGGGCGAACGCGTAAGACGACGGGATAACTCACCCGTCCATTGCACAACACGGAACTACGGAGCAACAGGTTCCATCCAGCGGCCAGCAGGAGACCCCGATGGGCGCCGCTCGCACCGACAAAATGGCGTCCAGGGGGAGCTCCCTGATTGGCGGCTTAGGAAATAATGTGGGCGTTCCAGGCTGGAGCCGGGCGCTGATTGGCTGGGTGCGTAGCGAGCTCCACGATAAAAAGGTAACTCGAGGCGTACTACATAAAGGGACTATTTTATTATAAACTACAAAAAGCCCGATGATGCTGCATCAATTATATGATGTTTTTTTTTAATATTTGCGACTCAGTAGAGAAGAAGCAGACAAGTTTTTTTTATATTATGGGCAAGTGGGCGTTGTCATGACAAAATACTAGCGCGTTGACATATGACCGATGTCCCGAGGACATCAGAGAAATAAAATGAACGGAAACCCTCCATTCACAACAAAAGCCTCCACGTGTACTAGTAAATACTAATTATACTAATCCCATGTTTCTGGGGTTGATTGACAAAGGGAAACATTATGGCGTCTCCTGTAAAAATATCAGTTTGCCCCAACAAATAAAAAATAATTTGGATTATGCTTATTGTATAAGAAACAAATCCACGTGCAGGACGAGGATTCATCCGGAGTTTCCTGGTGTGTCTGATCTCAGCACGTCAGAGACAAAGGGAAGTTCAAACCATATGATTCAGACAAACCCTAGTGGACTGCCAGTGGACAGCGTGGACGGAGGAGACAGGTTACTGTCCATCTCAGTGTTGAGTAACACGCTGATGAATAATTCCTCTGCCTGCTGCTTTGCAGGAGATTGGATTACATCACAGGTCATTTAGCTTTTATCAGAAGCGACGTACATTGCGTTTTTACCCCATGGTTTTTACATGTGTTTTGCCCGGGGGGAAATTAGGGGTTGTGTCTTTTTGCTCAGGGACACTTTGACATGGGACATGGAACCGCCTCTCTGCTCCACGCGCCCCGTCGTTACTTTACTTTGTGAAGATGACCCCGCTGCTCACACGTGAATAATTCATCACACGCGCACACACACATTGTGACTTTTATACTTGATTTTTATACTTGATACGTGTTATAAATGACAGACGTCTATTTAATTGGAATGAATTTAAATGAGAAACATTCACTCACAGTTATAAAAAAGAATCCTTTACTGATAATATGCAAATAATATTTTTATTTACTTCCTTTCCGTAATCCCAAATAAATTGTGTTTGTATGCCACTGAGGTAAAATAGATCTTGTAATACTATATATATATATTGTTTGGAAGAGAACCCGGACATTTAATGTATCATTAACAATTTACAATCGTTACTTTACAAATGCAAAAAAATGATTCGGCAAATAATCTCCACTATAATATTTCAACGTTGTACTTGCATTTTTACTGACACTAATATGAAATAATACGAACACTATTATACAATTTAATTAACAAACATATAAACAAATACACTATTTACCTTCCCAAGATGAAAATATATATAAAAACTGCGTTATAGTCCTTTAAAATGATTCATGGCCGTCTGACCTGCAGGGGCGCTGTCATTTCTCTGTCCGTTTAATCCGCCGCGGACGAAGGAAAAAGGGCACAAAGAAGACGAGCTGGAAGCGACGCGCCATTGGTCAGAAGCGCCGCGGCAGCGTTTCCTATTGGCTGCCCGAGTTGCCCCGCCAGTTGGGTCCAGAAACAGCGCCACAATTGAACAGCGTCCAATTAGTTGTTGTCTGCCGACTTTTTGTGGTAACATTTATACAAAATGTCTCACGCGTGAGCTAATGTTAACTCGGAGTTCGCAACATCATTCAACATTTGGTTTCCGTCCGAGTGGCTCGAGTTTCAAAGCCGAAAGAGGCGGCCGGTGCGGACCCAACCGGGAGCTAACGATGCTAGCATGTGTTAGCCGAACTCACTGAGCTGTTTCAGGCGTCTTGGTGGCCGTCAATAGTTCTACTCTGTCGGCCTTAGCAGGGATGAGCTGCCCGGTGAACCTCCAGGCTCTGCCGTCCGGGGTGTTTGAGGCGGTTTTTACTCCAGAGAACGCGAGAGCAAGGTGAGTTGATGTTAGCAGAGCCCGGAAACAACAACAACAACAACAACAACAACACCTGCTGTGGGAGTCACGCCCGCGTACCGGTGAATGCGTGAGAGACTCGGGCCTTTTAACGTTACTTTAACGTAGCACCACAATGTAGTAATACCTTGTTACAAGTTTTGTTAAAGGTCCTCCGTTGATAACACATCTTAAGTAAAAGTACTGACACAGAATTTAAATGGATGCATTAATTGTGTTTATCACTTTAAAGGCGACGCTCATCCTCACTGACTTGAAATCTCCATTAATTATCGGAACTCTTTGAGAAGTTTAAATTGTGATCTAAAATACGGTAGTAAAACATGCATCCTCGTTTACCTGAACTGTTTTTATATTGGTTAATAAAATTCAATAATCATCAGCTCTAGAAACTAGAGTTGTGCTGTGTTGACTTTACGTGTTGGAATTTTACACTTTTTTCATTCAACTTTGACCGTCACATAAGAAAACAATTCCCCCAAAAGCCTTTTAAACCAAGAACCCAGAGGGACAAAAACAGATATTTCTATAAAAGTTCAAAAAAACATTATTATGAAGTGCATTAACTTAAAATACAAATTGTACAACCGCATGTAAACTTAACACAAGCAGTAGGAATACACACATTACCCGGAAACTGTTACTATGAGTAGGATTTGAGTTGTTTTAGGAAAGTGTGAATATTGTTAGTATGCCTGAGATTACAGCTGATTAATGAGTTGATCAGAAAGTAGATCAGACATTAATGGAAGTTTTTCTTCTCTTGTCCAGAACCTCCATGAACTCTCTCGCTACGCTGAGTTTCCCCAAATCCAGATCCGCTCTGTGGGACGGCAGCCCTGCAGGAGAGGAGCTCCGCCTCGGGCTCTGTGCTTGCAGGTAAACACACAGCAAAGGTCACAGCTAGAATCGAACCAGCGGTATAATCTGGAACCGCTGCCTCGCCTTGACGCTCCACCTCGTCATTATCTGTTGGTGCAGCCGCTGACTTCAAAGGAACAAGAACTACAGTCTGAAGTGTACTTAAAAAAACAACAACAACAAAAAAAAACCTGTATGTGTTTACGTCGCTTGTAAATGTTGTCATGAACTAAGCCACTATATCATATGATGTATTAAATAGACACCAGGCAGGCAAGTGGATGTCTGTCAAGAATCTCCAGTGGAACTTTGATAAACTGCAGGTTTTTGTCTCCACGTCTCATCAGTTAGGGGTTTGACATATCGGAGTCTACTCAGTGGAAAACGACCAATCAGTTGTTGTGTTCGGTCAGAATGTACACACATGAAGTTGTGTAGCAGCTCTTATTAGAGAGCGAGTGTGTGTGTGTGTGTGCGCACAGGAGGCCTCGGCTCGTGCTGTTGGAGAAAGCTCTGCGACTGGCCCAACGCCACGCCCGTCACAGCAACAAGCCCCGCCTCCCGTGTTTCCTCCTGGGGTCAGTGTGTGTGGATGCAGGTAATTGTAGTTGTTACAAATCAAACTTGGGTGTTGATGACTTTTGTTTCCGCACAGAAAATAGATCAGGAATCACTGAAAATCAAAGACAAGCAGACTCTGTAACAAACCCAATTTTAATAAAGTTACCTCTGATGACTGTGGTCCAGATGAGGAGGGGGTCACTGTGACTTTGGACCGGTTCGACCCAGGTCGGGACCAGGCTGGATCCCTGAGCAGGGTCCCTTCTGCTCTGCTGCCCGGAGACGTCCTGGTGCCCTGTTGTTTCTCCACGCAGGCCGAGAGCCCGTCTGACGTCCAATCGGAGGCGGAGCTGCATCACTGCTTCAAGGTGAGTCGGACACCTCAATGTCGGAGGTCACGGACTGCCTGTCTGGTTCTTTGAATTGATGTGCTCCGTCCAATCGGAGACGAGCTGCTGCTGAAAGTTTCCATGGTTTCAAAAAGAACTTAAACGCTTCTGATGAAAGAAATAGTTTGTTTGTGTCTGTTACTAGACACAAAAAGATGTACTTCTATAATCGTCCTCTGATATTGATGTTTGTGTTTCTCTGTTGTCATGGCGACATCTGATTAATGTCACCAACAGCTGATTTTTTCTAATTTTCGTGCTGTTTTTTTTAAACATTTTTTATTATAGGAATAATAATTCAACCAGCAATGCTGATATAGATATATAGATATTTATATCTATATATATATATATATTTTACACATCTTTGGACTACGAATGGTCTCTAAGTCCGAGAGGGCGCCGCCTGCTTCAGAGACGGACCGCTGGAAACTGAAGACCGCTGAAATCCAAACAGCTGATTGGATGCGTTTACATTCCTTGCTTCATGACGTAGACTCGACCCCAAACCGCCGATTCGCTCTCCGAACTGACATGAAAATTAGGACTGATTGAATACAGCATCTTTTAAAAAATATATATATTTGGTGACAAATATCAACACCGGTCTTGATGTTTCAACACAGTAAAGATTATTGATTTAAAACCCTTTTATAAATCATGTTTACGGGTGCGTTTACTACGTGTATCCTGATGTTAGGGGTTTTAGTGCAGTGTTGTTTGCTATCTTAATGATTTAGTAGATGTTTTATTTATGCTTTCCGTTGATTTGTGTTCATTCATAAACTGACTGAAGATCTGCTTTCGTTGTGTTGTGAGGAACCTGAACAAAATGTCAGGAACCAAACTGAAGCGCTTGTGTCTGTCGTCTCAGGCGCTACAGCAGAGCGTGAGCGGCAGACAGACCCCGGATCTGTCTCAGCTGATGAAGGTCAGAGGTCACGTCGCCTGCTCCCGGCAGGCTGACGCTGCAGTGTTCGGCCTCAGCTGGTCAGCCGTCTGCCTGTCCGTCAGTGTGGACGTCCAGCCGGTCCGAGCCGTTCCCATCATCCCCACCGCGCTGCTGAGGAGTCTGACCGCCGTCGACCGGCCGCCGCCGCCGCGCACCGCCAGCCGCCACAGAGGGTGAGGCTCCGCCCCTGTTGAGAAAGGAGGCGTGGTTCCTCCTGAGGGACGCGCCGCGGTTCTCACGTCTGTGTTTGTGGCTGCAGGTTCCTGACCATGGATCAGACCAGGAAGCTGCTCCTGCTGCTGGAGTCCGACCCTAAAGCCTCCAACCTGCCGCTAGTGGGACTGTGAGTGTTTCTTTACGGGTTTCCGGAGATCTTTTGTCTGTCAGCAGGTTCAAAACGAACCGCCTGCAGCGTCTCACCTGGTGCTCCTGTTGTTTGTTATTATGTCATCTCATCCTTACAAAAACACTGACAATGAAGCCTCGCGGCTAACTGAACCTTCCGTCATGTGACAGGTGGCTGAGTGGAGTCACACACGTCTCCAACCCTCAGGTGTGGGCCTGGTGTGTGAGGTTCCTGTACAGCTCCGCCCTCCAGGACAGGTGAGTCCACCCGTCCAGTCCAGTCTCATGTCCCTGTTGACGAGCCCCTGATTGTTCCTCTTGTGTTTCAGAGTTCTTTCGGAGAGCCGCTGTTTCCTCCTCGTCTTGTTCGCCTCCACCCACAGAGCGCCTCAGTTCTTTCAGTGTCGAGGACCAGGACCAGGACCGGCAGCGCAGCTGGACTACCAGCTGCTGACGGCCACACAGTGTGTCACACTGTACCAGGTAACGACACACCTGTCCCTGCAGAGACTAGTGATGGTAATGACGAAGACGATGAATGTGGACTGATGTGGTCTCAGCAGGTGGTCTCGGTAGAGGGTCGGACTCTGCAGTGTGAGCTGCGCTCAGAGAATCACAGCAGACAGGCGGAAGTCTTCAGGGAGGCCAGAACGTCCTTCAGCAGGTACCAGAACCTCACCTGTCCTACGCCACAGTGCAACATTCCCATGAATATTAATCGGAGATCATTTAAATATTTAATTACGTTATATCAGAGAGATGTGTTTGTTTTGTTGAACTGCTCCTCTCTGTCCTCAGAGCTGCCCCCCCCGCCGCCGGTCTGTCTGCCAGCGATCAGGACTCTGGAGTTGAGGACGAAGACTTGTCTCCGCGGCCGTCCCCGAGCCCCCACGCCCCCGCTCAGCAGGTCAGTCGTTGCTCAGGTCTCGTGTTGATCTGTGACGTCACTGTGATGTCACCACCGGCAGCCAATAGCAGCAGAGTAGTTGAGTTCCTGTGTGCTCTGTTGAAGGCTCGCAGGGTCCAGCCGTCTGTCCCTGAACTTTCTCTGCTGATGGAGAGCAGCTTCACCTCCAATCAGAACGCTCGGCAAAGCCCTGGCCCCGCCCACAGAGACCCTCCCCCTCATGCTGTTGGGAGGAAGTCTGCTCTTCCATCCAGAAACACTACCGCCTCCTCAGCTCCCAGACCTGCTGCTCCACCTCCTCATCACCACAGCACTCCCAATTCCAACCCGCAGGAGCCGTGCTCCTGCTGCCCCACCCACACCTACTGCACCTCCATCTTCCCCTCCCCAAGGCTTCACTCTGCTCCTCTTCCTCCATCCTCCAACTGCCACACTCCTCCTCCCTGTGGTCACCCCCCTTCTTCTCTTCCTCTACCCTCCAATTACAACACTCCTCCTCCTCCTTGTAGTCACCGCCCTGCTCCTCTTCCTCCATCTTCCCACCATCACACTCCTCCTCCAGCCAGTCAACACCTTCCTCCTCTTCCTCCATCCTCCCATCACAACACTCCTCCACCATCCAGTCACCATCCAACTACTCTTTCTTCCTCCATTCTTGCTATTCCTCTCTCCTCCCTTCACCACACTCCACCTCCCGTCTCCACCCACTCTCCTCACAGCTCGTCGTCTCCTCCCTCTGCTCCTCGTCCTTCCCGTCTTTGTCGCCACACTCCTCCCGACCAATGGTGTGGTGACTCCCCCTCCCGTCCAGCAGCAGCAGACTCTGCGTCCCCCCCCAGGCCTTCCCGTCCCGCCTGTGTGAGTCAGTGCTGTGATCAGTTGGAGGGGGTCGTGCCCTCTGACACCTACCAGCTCCTCCTTCATCAGGACCGACAGCTCCGCCTACTGCAGGCACAGGTAAGTTCAATTTGTGTGTGTGTGTGTGTTGTCATGGCAACAGTGTTGAGTGAACGATTAACTGCCATCAGGTCCAGATGCTGCTGGAAGCTCAGGTCAGACCTCAGCCGTCAGTTGGGCAGGTGGAGGTTCAGACGCCCAGGAGCACCGTCAGCATCGCAGTAGGGACAGGTGAGACTCTGGGGACGGTGGAGACTGAGACTGAAGGTGCAGAAGCTGGGAGTGGTTGTCTGTTGAGCATCACAAGTCTCCCTCTCTGGTTTTCAGGGGCCAGTCTGTTCTGGGGGGATCCTGTCCAGTCGCCCCTCCCCCCTCAGGAGGTAGCGGCCCCTTCTTCTTCCTACTCCTCACACGGCGACCTGTCCGCCGTCGGGTCTGCAGGCCGCACTGAGGACTGCGAGGCTGCATGCTCCCCCTCCGGTCAGAACAGGTGAGCCGCTCGCAGACGCCTCCAAGCGGGTCTTTGTGAGAGGAGACCTGGACTCTGACTCCGTGTTTTCCGTTGCAGCGTCAGCGCTCTGCAGAGTCCCGTTCTGGGAGAGAGCGTCAGCATGTACGAAGAGCAGCAGAGCTTCTACCACAACCTGATGGTAACAACACCGTCACATGATGCCAACTGTAGATATTTACTCTGTGTCGGGTCACTCATGCTAACCCTCCCTGTCCTCAGACTCAGGTCACCAGTCGTCTGCAGGAGTCCGATAGTAAACAGGAAGTAGAAGAGGAGTCCAGGAGGAGGAGCCTGTCTGAGGAGTCCAGGAGGAGGAGCCTGTCTGAGGAGTCCAGGAGGAGGAGCCTGTCTGAGGAGTCCAGGAGGAGGAGCCTGTCCTCCCAGTCCAGGAGGAAGGAGAGCAGTGGAGGCGACCCGGTGCTCGCAGCCACTGTGAGGCAGCTGCAGCAGCTCGGGGTCGTCGTGGGCCGAGACGATCTGACGGAGTCTGAGCGCAGAATCCATGAGACGGTGGAGAGCAGCAGGTACAGGGCTCAGCCGAGGGCTTGGATGTGTATCACACGCTGTATCCAAGTACTGTTGTAATCAAACAACAAAGGTATCTGTCACTAGGGATCATCACCAATCAATGACCTATAATTGGTATCGGCAGTCGAGGAAGGTTTCAGGGATCGAAGTTATCTTTGCTCATCTTTTCCCTTTAGTGCTGAACTGATCCGTCGTCCAGAGTTTTATTATCAATCCACTAATTTTTGCAGCAAAAAAAGTCTTTCACATAATGACATCTTTATAAAAGAGAGCAACATTTTGACATGAATGTAATCATTCAAATCAAATAGTTTATGGCTTTTGCCTTTTTAAATAATATTGAATGTAATATTTTGTCTCACTGTGTTTGCGTTTGTTTCAGCACTCTGGCGAGCATCAACCCGGCGGCGGTTCTGTCCCGGCTGAGTGTGTCCGAGCCAACGGCGAGCGCTCTGTTCTCTGAGGGCAGCGTGGATCTGAGCATGGAGGCCAACGCCATCGCCCTGCGCTACCTCAGCGACTCGCAGCTGAGCAGACTCTCTGTGGGAGGCCACGCCCCTCGCACAGGCCCCGCCTCCAACCATTCCCTCATGTCTCTTAGCAACATGTCTCTGGCCACCAGGAAGTACATGAGGAGGTATGGCTTGATCGAAGAAGAGGAACAGGGGGAAGAAGAAGAAGAAGAAGTGGAGGGCGAGGAGCAGGAGGCTGATGTTCTGAATTCTAAGCTCCTCCCACAAGGTCAGCTGATCCTGTGCCCACGGCCCAAAATGCAGCCATTAGTGAACACTGCCGACAAGGAGAACTGTTCCAGCAAGCGGCCATCTGTACTGAGGGCGAGCGGCCGTCAGACGGACGGATCGATGGGAAACATTCTGGACCTGAGCCGCCTCAGACAGCTGCCCAAACTCTTCTAAGAACGTCTTGATGCACGCGGCGTCACTTCAGCGTGGAACGTCTCCGCTGGTCTTCCATCTTAAGTCAAATAGACTTTTTATGAATTGATGTTTTCTAAATGAGTGTGTGTGTCTTACGTGGGAGCCGACGCATCTTTCTGAAATTTGTATGTGTGAAGTGTTTTTCTACCACTCCCTGTTTTTAATGTGAAATGTCTTTTGCATAGGTTTTTTAAATATTTATTTCACAAATAAAATTCATATTACTTTTAATACTTGAATTATTCATTTATTTATTTATTTTATCACATTTCAGCAATAAGAATATTTCCTAAAATATTCAACTTTAATTTCAAAGAAAAATGGTTCTGGAAGTCACTTTAAATAAAAGACAAGATTTTCCTCTTATTTATCTCCCTAAATTTAAGAGGAAATGTTCATTTTGAAACACCGCTGTTCTGAACCATTGTGTCACTTGTCAGAGGACAAACATTGACTCATTTCTGTCAGAGGGAAATGAAAAGTCAAGTACACAGCAGTGATGCCCCCAGTGGACACCAGGGGAAATGTATTAGTTCCAGAGACTAAAAATTAGCTAAATTTGCAAATGCATCAATCTGGTGGTGAAAAGTACAGTTTAGAATCTCTAGAAAGAAGTCTGATAAAATGAGCTGCTATAATCGGATAGAACATTGTGGTTTTAATGGGAGCTTTTGTTTTGAAGGGTCTTGAGTGTAATTGGTTTCTCCCTTGGCGGGGCGACGGTGCACACGTGGGCGTGTCGGGGCAGAACTGTCGTGCACAGTCAGTAGACGACGTGAACAACAATTCCTGCGGGGGCGGAGCCTGGGGGTCGGGGGTCGGGGCACTGGTTCGATGGTGGTGGAAACACTGCAGTGATTTTATTGTAAACTTATTATAGGAGCCCAACTTCCCAAATGAAGTCACAGCTGTGTGACACAAAGATCTCAATTAAAACTAAATGTCTCTTGTGATCCTCAGAGATTATTATGAATTATGTGACGTAAAAGTGTGTTTACGACCTGCACTCACCGGTATTGATCGGTTTGTGTCCAGATGTTGACCAATGTCTCAAAGGTTATTGTGATGTTTGAGCGCTCTGCAGGACACTGACCTGAGTTCAGCTCAAACCGCACACATCCGACCGTCTCAGCACTCGTCTATCTACCTGTTCAGGTAAGATTTTACCAACTAATCTTCCTGATGGGTGCTGGTTCTGCCTTTTTGTCCAGAAACAGTGAAGTTATTGATCTCCTGGGCGTCTTCAGTGAAAAGCTTTTCCGATCCTGTTTTAAATGTTCAGATCTTTCTCTTTTATAGTTTTGTTCCCTCATGCTTTGTTTTAAAGTTAAATATTTCTTAAATGAGCGTTTCATCTCTCTCATAAAGCTTTTAAAGCATGACGCTGCGCATTGATTTAGTTCTCGGCCTGTTAGTGATTATTAATGTTGAATTAAACCAAAACCTGTGAAGCTAAAAGTGTGAATGTTGTTTCTAATTAATTATATTTATGCTGAAATTAAATACTCAATCAGGTTTATGATTATAGACCGTTTTGTATTATTTATGTGGAACTAGATTATTTTAAATGGAGTGTGGTGTTCTCTGAATATAACAGACCAGTCTTTTTAGTTTTTATTAGGTGGTGTTTTTGTCTTTAAATATCTCTTGTTCTCAGGTTGCTCTTAAAAAACAACAACTAATCCAGATATTAAAAACGCTGTTTGCCAATTACACTTTTTTATGTGAGTCAGTGTCGACCCTCTCATGTCAGATAAACTAATATCTAATAAATCTGCGTTTGTAGGTTTTACAAAGCGTTTTGCCCAAGGCAGCAAATTAAAACCCATTCTTCTCACGTAAGATAAATAAGTAAAAAGTACGGTAATGCTTTGTACAAGTATCTAAACTCCCCTCGGATTTACTCCATGTGCAGAATGAAGGCTGCTGATTGGCTGTTGGTTCTGGTGTCCCTGCCCCTCGTCTCCTTCGCCTTCGATTCGGACATCTGCAGCGCCAAACCCAAAAACATTCCCCTGGAGCCGCGCTGCATCTACCGCAGCCCCGACCCCGAGCCCGAGCCCGGCCAGGGCCCGACCCCGCAGCCGGAGACGATCCCAGAGTCCACCAACCCCCGAGTCTGGGAGCTGTCCAAGGCCAACAGCCGCTTTGCCCTGTCCCTGTACAAACACCTGGCCCTCGACAAGGCCCCCGAGGCCAACATCTTCATGTCCCCCATCAGCATCTCCACGGCCTTCGCCATGACCAAACTGGGAGCCTGCAACCAGACGCTACGGCAGATCATGGAGGTCTTTATTATTATAAACTATTATTACTGATATCATGAAGCTAACGGAGAAGACCACTGTCATGAAACTGTGTTTCTGTCTGCAGGTGTTTGAGTTCAACGGCATCAAAGAGAAGACGTCGGATCAGGTCCACTTCTTCTTCGCCAAACTCAACTGTCGTCTGTACAGAAAGAAGGACAAGACCACTGAGCTGATCTCCGCCAACCGACTGTTCGGTGACAAGTCTCTGGTCTTCAACGCGACGTACCAGAACATCAGTGAGGCGGTGTACGGGGCCAAACTGCTGCCGCTCAACTTCAAGGTAATGTTGGGGTCAAACCCGAGTCCCCTTTACTTCCCCGTCCCCTGAACCACTCAGGGTTCAGACCTTAAGGCGTCACACCTGACAGAGGTCATACTCAAAACCCTAGTTATGTGCTGCAGGAGAACCCGGAGAAGGCTCGGGTCACCATCAACGACTGGATCGCCAACAAGACGGAGAACCTGATCCAGGACACGCTGCCAGAGGGGGCTCTGGACTCCAACACGATCCTGGTCCTCGTCAACACCATCTACTTCAAGGTACCTGAGCTGGCACACGTTGTGTTCCAGATCGAAACGTTGACGGGGCTCCAAATCTGAGGAGCTCACACTTCTCTTCTCTCAGGGTCAGTGGAAGAACAAGTTCGACAAAGACAACGTGTACGTCGCGGACTTCCAAGTCAGCGCGGCTCGGACCTGCTCCGTCAAAATGATGTACCAGGAGACCAAGTTCAGGTACAAGAACTTCCCCGACGACCAGGTGGAGCTGCTGGAGATGCCGTACCGCGGAGACGACATCACCATGGTGATCATCCTGCCGATGAAAAACACCCCCCTCAGTAAGGTAACGCCAATCGGTCCTCCTTTTGTATTTACCGATGTTCATTTCGTCAATGCACATTGATTCTTCAATGTATATTAGTTCAAAGGTATATTCATTAAAAGGTATGTTTGTTTATTCACATGTCTATTAGTTTACAAGTTGACAGTGTCCTGGTGACCGTCTCTTATCCAACAATTAAGGACAATAAAGATGGTGTGTTTTAGTGTTGTATGTTTAAATGTGTGTTGTTGTGTGGAGGTGGAGGAGGGTCTAGACCTGAACAAACTGACGTCCTGGTTGGATGGGATGAAGGAGACGACGGTGGCGGTCCACGTCCCTCGCTTCAGGGTCGAGGACAGCTTCAGTGTGAAGGAGAAGCTGCAGGCCATGGGACTGACGGACCTGTTTAGCTCTGAGAGGGCCAGTCTGCCAGGTGATCGACACTTCTTCATCCATTATCCAAGTTCATCGACGTGTCCCAGGGCGCCGGAAACTCATCTCATCATTGATATTTCATAACATACAATATTAACGTACACGTAACAATATGATAACGATTCAGTCTGGTCTAAGATTGTGGGGTCTTCAGGAATTCAAGGTCTAGCATGAACGGCCCGTTCAGGTACCAGAAGAACAGCGTGGGGCGTTGAGAAACCGGAACGAGGGCGCTGAGGAACTGAAGTGACTTTGTTTGTTTCAGGGATGTTGGAGGACGGAAGTGAAGGTCTCCACATCTCCGACGCCTTCCATAAAGCCTTTCTGGAGGTCAGTGGCTGGTGTACAGTCGGTCAGACCAGAGGCCCTGACCGGTCTTGCCACAGGGGACCTTAAATGATGTGTTTTGTGGCCCGCAGGTGAACGAGGAGGGCAGCGAGGCGGCGGCAGCCACCGCCGTCGTGGCCGTTGGCCGCTCCCTCAACTTGAGACGGCCGGTGTTTATGGCCAACAGGCCGTTTCTGCTGCTCATCAGAGAGTCCACCATAAACTCCCTGCTGTTTACCGCCAGGGTGGCGGACCCCTGCGACCAATGAGATCCAACAACTGCGTCCAACCCAGCAAGCATCAAGACGTGACGGCGATGAAAACAGTCGTTCAATAACTTCACATCCAGCGTTTGATTTTCCCCCACGGACCATGGTTATTGATCACGTGAAGACGTGTAGAGGGGGGAAGTCCCGCCCCTTTCGTGTCCACTACGGGACCTTATTTCAGAGGGACTATGTTCGACAGATCCATCTTGTTCAGATCCAGTTTGAGTTACGGAATATTACTGTTGACAAACTAGTATGAGACGGAAAAAGATGTTGATGTAAAGAGTAGAGAACTAGGTATTCTGTTTCTTCTATCTCTATAGTCCTTCATCGTAAAGCTCTGAATGAAGCTGTGTGTTTGGTACCACAAGGTTTTTTCTCATTTGAACACATCATACAAGCTATACCTCGCCAGCTAGTGTTGGTGACGCAAAGATCTCAATACGTAGACTAATGAGTCTCTTTATTAACTAATATATCTTAAGCGCATTAACAAGAGTTAAAGTGATTTTGTTTTTGGAGAATCTGTCATTAAAATCAACTGCTCGATTAGTCGACAAAATCAGAAGACTGTTTGAACTAAATTCATTTTGGTCCTCATCTACTCAGAGGAGAGCAGGCGCAAGCAGCAGGACGGCTGCTGGCCGTTCTAAATAGCCGCTAACTTGCCTAGCGTACATGTTTATTTTGACCATAACATTACATTAATTATGTAGAAATAATCATTTCTATGTTCGTTCATGAGCCTTGAGTACACAGCGTCATCTTGCCAGCTGAATTGTGGGTAAAGAAAGAGGCGAGTGGACACTTAAAGTGCTTTATTTCTTCTGGAGATGCGACCTGTGAGTGATCGAGTGGTCATGGTGAGAGAAGTTTCTTCACATTTTTCTAACCCTCCCTCCCCCCAACAGAGACATGCAACATAAGATATCTTCACATAAAACCCCCGTACTTCTTTAAAATCAAATGCACAGTATTCAAAGTTAATTTAGTAAATGCTTCTTTGATATATTAGGATATATTTGAGGAATCAACAGTAAAGAGTAATCTCATTGAGTATACAGTACGTCTAAATGATTTGATTCATAATTAGGCATGTTATTGGATATAGTAACATAACAAACAGAAGCTGAAGAACCATGAAACCTGGTTGTGAAGCAAAAAGGAGCCTCGAGAGACACCATGAGGACCAGAGGGTGATGAAGAGGAGAACGAGGATGATGATGACGATGAGGTTGTGCTGTTTTCACAGTTTGACTGAAACCGTAAGATGAAACTGAAGAACCATTGAGGAGGAGGAGAAGTTGGATCCTTTAAACTCTTTATTCCTTATTTATAGATTCCGAGCAGGTGTCACATGTGTTTTCTAGAGAAAAATTACTTCACACTAAAAATCTGTTCCGATTCTGATCTTTTTAACAAAAACATGGAGGTCCATCGGACCTGAACTCTGATCCCACTTCTCCTCCTTTATAGATTCCTCCAGACTGGACTGAACCGAACAGGACTAGATTAGGCTGCACTGCACTAGTCTAGAATCAACCAGACTAGATAGACCAGACTGGAATGAACTGGATTGATAAACAGCTCTGTGGACATTTGGCGGTCTGGACCAGTTCACGTTTAGGTAGAAACAGATTTGTTTTATGATTCTGGAGAATGGATTTGAGTTTAATAGTTTGATGTTTTTATGGGGTTGGTTTCAGAGCTGAGCAATATCTTTGCTTCTTTTGTTTGTCCTCAGTTATCGATACGACAGAAGGACAAAGACGCACCGTGATCTCCATCGGTTTGTTCTTTGCGATTAATCAGAAAATGTTCTGGACCGTCAGGTTGTTTAATCCCATTGGAATAAACTTGGTTTCAAATTGTGTGTTTACAAAGTGGAGGTTAAAACGAGTTGGTAATATTTCCTTGTCTGAGTTAACGAGTCAACATTTTCGAAGAATCCGGTTTGAAGTATAAAATAAAGAAATCCCTCAGACGTTGTAGATATTTATCCATCTATTTAAGTCAAGCTGTTAAAATTGTTTGTAGAGACCTCCGTGTCTTCTACAGTATGCAGTGATTTACAGGTGTACTCGCCTCAATGATGGGTGTGGTAACAGGCGTAAAATACACCACCCTACTATATTTTTAGTGTTTTCTTGGAGAAAGTATTTTCATGATTTTGAATATTCCCAATGAGCTTTAAACAAACTGGACGCCACGAAACAAATTCGAAGTCGGCCAGCTGCCAGCCAATCAGCAGGCGGTACTTTGTGTCGCTGTTGTACTCTCATGTTGTCATGACAACTGATTTATCCCATATTGCCCATCCCTGGTTTGTGTGTCCGTCGGCCTTTATTTACAGCTTTAGTTTCTGCGGCGAGTAGCTCGCTCTGAGGTTTAGCCGTTAGCATTCTGCTACGTAGAGAAAGGTAAAACGTCCCGTCGGCGGAATAAAAGAGTCTGTATACCTGAAACTTTCCTGGGTTTAGCCTGAAGAGTCCTGCCGCAGTGAGGACGGAGCCGCTGGCGTCACTTGCATAAAAAAAAGATCCATCCGCTGAGAATCTGATTCACAGATGTGTAGAAAAACAGCAACAGCCGATCCATGTGCTACCAGCATTCGGACATTAACGTTCACACGCAACAAAACGTCTTTGTAGTTTAAATACGTCTCATATGTGGTTCTATAGAAAGTTCGGCTGTTAATCCTCCGTTCTCCGTTAAGTGCTGAAGTTGTTTCGGAGTTCCAACGTTGCCCGGGCGATCCGACCTCTGTTTGTCTGCATGTGACCTTTGACCTCTGAGGAGTCGAGTTCTAGTCCAGCTCCGCGTCCTGGCTACTACATCCATGTGGTCTGACGGGGGGGGGGTCTGGCTCCCCCGTCCTGTCGCTCCACGATCAGTGACCCGATAAAAGGACCGTCTGTCGCCATGACGCTGCACCTCTGCTGCACATGTGCAGCGAAACGTTAGCTGCCCACTAGCATTAGCTAGTGTCAACGTAGTCAACCCACAGCGAGGCTGCGCTAGCAGTATCCAGCTAAGCTAAGCTAAACACAACGTGGACTAATACGGAGATAACACCGATCAGAAAGACGTCCCCTGTCGGCCTTAGCCTGAAAATGTTTTACTGAAGTAGGTTTAAGCTTAAAAAACAGCTAACTTGGTACGTAAGCTAATGTTGTTGGTCAGAAGAAAACTAATTAAACCGTTAACTTGTAAACTCATAAGCTCACAAACGTTAACGACCAGGACACAACGGTTTAATAAAGTTGTGTGCGTCTAAGGTTAATTAACATAATTAAATGAAAAGATATGCCAGCTTGCAAGCTAATATTAGCATAATTGGCCTCCATTTTGAAGATGACACAGCTAGCTGGCTGTCTTCTGTTAATTATTCCGGGTTGATTTTAGGGTTGTGTGTCCTCTCTTTGACTTGTTGCTCTTTAGTTTGAGGGTGTTTTCTCTTGGTGCAGCAGATTTAAGGCGTCATTAACATAAAACTGTTCCTGATCCGGTCCTGAACTTTCTTGTCTTCCGTCTTAGACATTGTCAGAGCAACAAAAACAACAAAACGAAAAAGTGTCGAAGAAACTCATGAAAAAAAAACAAAAAAAAACATAATTGTTTATAAAACTATCTGAGACGGAGCTCCGTGTGGATCAGAGCCCGCCGGCGGAGCTGCAGCTGTATTGCGTAGCGGTGAGAGGTAACTGTGTAGCTTATCCGAGGCTTCCTGCTGTGAGTCCGTTCTGTCTGCTAAAACAACACTTATAGTCTGAAACGTTTGAATTGATCAGTGTGATCGGAGCTCTCCACTTCCATACTTCCATGTCTATCTGTCGCTAGAGCTTCCTGCCGGGTACCGCGGCCGTCCTCCGGTTAGTTGAACAGGTGCTGAGGTAACGCGCTCAGGTGACACCTGAGCAGCTCTGATTGGCAGGAGGAGGCCGCGGGCGACAGCCGGGAGCTCCGGAAGGAGCCGAGAGGACAAAATATGTAGTTCATTTTTAGATCAAACGACTTTCACTCAACTTAAATTTTCAGCGTTTAACTTTGATATTATATATTATATATATATATATATATTGACGATATTCTATGTAGAGGCTTCAGAGTTTAGCGACTGAAGTGATTTAGCAGCGGCTCTACTTTTAAGTCACAATATGTTTTATAACGTATTTAGATTAAGCAACGTGTGAATGATTTTTTTTTAAATCACAAAAAATATGATTAAATGTCAAATAAGATGACGCAATGAATTTGTTGGATCACAGTTTAAAAAAAAAAAGAAGGCAATTCTAAAGACAAGCTGAGACGGTGAACTGACCATCAGATCATACGGACAGAATGATTGACGTGCTGATCAATGGATCAATCAATAAGTGAGCTAATCTATAGTACCAGTCAGATTCCCGGCATCACTTCACTTCTGTTCCACAGAGCTTCATGAGAGATGCAGATTGGAAAGAAGCTCTGACAACACTGGAACTGAACGACAGAAGGAGGTTTTTCTGTTTTTTTTAAATGACTGAATAATATTTACTATGCTGATGTATTAAAAAGAGCGTGCGGGATTATCATTATTATTATTATTATAATTATTATTATCATCATTAACCTTGCCGCTCCAGATTGTCTCAAGGCAAACATGAAGGATTTGAAACTGTTGGACTGGCACCGAGTAGTTTGGCAAAGTTCCCAGCAGAACCTGTGACATAATATAAAAGTAGAAATCTGTAACGTAAAGAAGACGGCGGCGGCGGCGGACGAGGGCGGCGGCGCGGCGCGTGAGGTTGTCGGGGGTGTGTGGCATTTCTTCGTCGTAGCTTAAACCGGTTCGGTTTGGTTAGTAAAGGTAGATGTGGTTTAAATCCTCTCAGTGCGGACTCTCCGGCCCTTTTCTGTGGCCGGTCCACTTCAGCGGGTTCGGCGCAACCCCAACGCGGACCCTCCCCCCTTTCTCACCCGCGGGTGGGGCAATGGGGGGGGGGGTGGGTCAATCGGGCCCCGTGGTGGACACCGACGCCTGGGGTCCCTCGCCGTACTGGCCTCCGCCGCCCTCGGGCTCCTCCTGGCTGGGCGAGGCCTCGTCGCTCGGCGCCCCGCCCCTGGACGTGACGGAGGCGGTGGTGGTCTCGGGGGAGGCGCTGTGGGCCTCCTGGGGAGCGCAGCCCGGGTGGTTCTTGCGGAAGTGCTGGTTGAGGATGGCCTGGAAGGGGAAGCTCTTGCCACACACGTGGCAGTGGAAGGGCTTGTTGCCGGTGTGCTTGCGGATGTGGTACTCCAGCTGGTCCTTCCGGGTGTACTTCTTGCCGCAGATGCGGCAGACGAACGGCGTGATGCCCATGTGCAGCCGCATGTGGCGGTCCAGGCTGCCCTTCTGGTTGAAGGACTTGCAGCAGTAGATGCAGGTGAGCCGGGGGTTGTAGCGGTACCAGCGGTCCCCCACCTGCTCCCTCAGGTAGTCCTCGTAGCCGCCCATATCAAACGACGCATGCTCCTCCCCCTGGGAGGCGGAGTCAAGTGTCATTAAAGAGCAGAACCTGAGCAGACTAGTTCAAACTAACTTCTACACCTTTGAGGTGGACGGCCGGTCTGCGTCATCAGCAGAAGTACTAATGGTAGTACTCGTAGTATTACTGTGAGTAGTAGTTGTAGCAAAGGTAGTATTACCTGGGAATTCGGCTGTCGCAGCTCGTCTGCTCTGCCGGGCGACTCGCTCTTCGCCCTCTGACGCTCCGCCAGGACGACCACGCTGCCGGTGGGACTAAACCTGATACATGGACACATGAGGACAACGTGAGGACAACGCGAGAAGACATGGCCGTCACGTGTCTCCAGGTGGGACAGGAAGTCCTCGCTGGGACTCACCTGTCCGTCTCGCTGAAGCTTGAGGACGGTTGGGCGCTGCGGTTCCCCAGCGGACCCCCCGGCGCCGTCACCAGCGTGCTGCGTCCCGACGTGTCAATCATCACGGTGGTCCCCTCCTCCATCGCCCCCCCCTCCTCCTGGTGCTCCCCTGCTCCAATCCAGTCGTCCATCCTCTCCGTCTTGATCCTCACGCGGTCCATGCCGCCGCCACCGCCGCCGCCGCCGCCGCCGCCGCCCTCCTCTGCGCTGCCGGTCCGCTCCGGCTCACTGTTGGTCTCCACGTACCACTGACCGGCCCGGTTGATGCGAAGGATTGGTTCCTTGCCCCCTCTGCCGGGGGCGCTGGAACCCTCCAGCCCGCTGTGCTCCACGGTCGTCGGCGGGCTGAGCGGCTCCTCGGCGGGGCTGACGGCCTCGCACACCTCGGCTCCTCCCCCCCTCGCGGCGAGCAGCCGCAGGCTGGCGTGATGATTGCCTGCCCGCACCGCGGGCTCCAGGGTCCTGCAGTTCCTGGAGCCCCGAGTCGCCGCCGCCGCCGCCGCCGGCGCGTCCTCCTCCCGGGTGTCCTCGTCCAGGTCGGCCAGGCTGATCTTCAGGTGGATCCCCTCCAGGATCTGAGTGCAGCGGTCGATGATGTGCTGCATCTGAAGGAAGCTGGCGGCCGTCAGGTAGCTGATGATGTCGGCGAGCTGCAGGCAGAGGCGTCCCGTGTAGCAGAAGGACAGCAGCTGCTCGAACACCGACGGGTTGCGGATCACCGTCAGCGACACGGTGCTCATCTGGCCCAGAGACATGTGGTCCCGGAAGTACGGCGAGCTGGCGGCGAGGACGACCTTGTGCGCCCGGAAGCTCTGACCCTGCACGTTGACCACGATGTCGCAGAGACGGCCCTGAACGCGCAGCTGGTTCAGGTGAGACAGAACGGAGTTGCTGAAGTCCGGGATGTCCAGCTGGATGCTGCCGGAGCGCTCCATGCTGCAGCCTGCGGGGACACAACGGGGACACAACGGGGACACAACGGGGACACAACGGGGGACCAGGATGAGGACACGTAGTTCAGACCAAACACCTCCTGGCTGAGTTGTGTGACTTAAAAGATATTTGATTTTCCTCCCATCGTCGCTCTTGATACGTAGTGATGTCATCGTGATCCACCGGTACATTAATGTTGATCATGTGACTCCTTTAAAGACAGAACCGGTGTTTGGACCAGGACCCACAGAGTTGTGGACACTGATCTGATCCCTCGTATTGATAAGGTGAAGGAGGGCCGTGTCGTGTAGTACCTGTACGACCAGTTAATGGAAAAAGGACTAGAATATTTTATTATATATTAGTATTTATACTACGGTGTAGAAAACGTAAAAGGTACTAAATTCAACACCATTACATAATTATTAAGTACCAAAGTATTATAATATATATTATTTTCTAGTATTGACATTAATAATACATCAGTATCTGAATCTGTAAAGTAACTAAAGCTGTCATATAAATGTAGAAAAGTAGAAGTAGTAGTGTAGAAGTACACCGTAGCAGAGAAGGTACTCTGTTACCTCATCAGTCTACTGAGGGAAGTTCATGTTGGTTTGTTTTCTGTGTTTAAGGATTTATTGTTATTTATAACAACTTTGAGTGTTTCTGCAACCCATCAATGTTCTGCTGTTATTGACGGTTTACACTTTCTATTAAAGTTCTGGTTCTGGTCCCAACACCTTGTCTAACATCTGTCCTCCTCAAAACTGGACCAGAGCCGGAGTCCGTGTGTCACCTGGAGGAACTGATGGATGAACACCTGGTTCCTAACGGCAGACCACATGCAGCCGTCAGGTTCGGGTGTTCCTGTTGACCGGTACCGGTCTGACAGCAGGACGCAGCACCAGATCAGGGGGCCAGGTGAACCCCCCCAGGTGTGCATCCTCACGCTCACCTGAAGGGGGACAGGGGGAGATCGGGTCTGGTTTCAGGGTGCGGCGCTGTCGAGGCTTCACTCCCGCGGCCAGCCGAGCATCGTCAGCGGGGCGGGAGGCGACGGCTCGGCTCGGCTCGGCGCGTCTCGCCTTGGCGCGGCTCGGCCCGGCTCGGCCCGGAAGGCTGCAGCAGCTCCTCCCGCCGCTCCTCCAGGCTCCGCGGCTCCGGGACTCCAGCGGGCTCCGGCCGGCGGGGTCGCGACGGGGTTCAAGGCCGGGGAACGGCAGCTGAGCTCGGGCTCCGGTCCGTCAGCAGCCGCCGCGCCGCCATTCCGCTGGAAGTCAGATGGGTTCAGGTTCGGATCCCGCCGCTGCTCATCTTCCTTTTTTACGGCAGAAGGGCCGAGGCTGCAGGAAGGAAGGAAGGAGGGAGGGAAGAAAACGCGCGGGGCATGCTGGGAAATGAAGTCAGTTGGCAGAAGGAGCGCTGATTCAGCCGTGGCGTTTACTTCCCGGCATGCATCAGTGTGGAGGCGGGGGCAGGGGGGCGGGGGCAACAATATACAATAAAGTATGCACCATGTTTATTTTCCATATATACTAAATAAATGTTTTTATTATGCATTATTTATTTTAAATGTGTTTAAATGTTTGTTCATTTTTGGAGTTGTTCAGTTTGAATATATTGATTATTATTCACCTCTTTATCATTATTTACATAATAATAATAATATTTTCTGTAATGTGAGCCAGTTGAAACTTTTAGATGTTGAACAGAGGAGGCTCCACAATGGAGCCTTGGGGAACTCCACCTCTCACATTTGTCCATGTGTAGTTCAAATAACGAATAAATCTATGTGCTCCTGTCCTCTAAAAATGATTCAAACCAGTTTACTACTGGGATCAATATCCCTTGAGCTCTGAGATCCAATAAAACTAAGACTGTGTGTTTAAGGAAATCAGGACATTTATTTTTAATAAAGAACATGAACTCTTTGGTTTTGGACCAGATAATAATTATAATCATAATCTATGTTGATTTTGCACCTTCGATCAGTGTCAATATCTGAACTCGTATCTGCTCCACGAGGAGAGACCCGGAACTACAGGATCATTGTGTCCACAGGGAGGCAGCATTGACTCACAAACCTGAAGACCTGATCCTCCAAACCCAGACGGATGACTCTGACGGTCTAGTTGAGTTATTTAATTAATGACAATGTTTGATGCTGAAAAAGCTCCTGCCACTTCATATTTAACTTTATTATCATCTTCATTCTAGTCATTCAACCGTTTTATTTAAATTGGGCCTTTTATTGTGAAACGCATCAAAAAGCAGATGTTTCTCTCTCTGTCTTTATTGAATTCTAGCGAGCCAAAATTCAGAAGTTAAACAGACGTCAACAAACTGATCACAAACACAGTGCAGTTAACACGTTAATCGATCAGCTCCTGATTGACGACGGGAGCTGATGGAACTGGTTACCGTGGCAACAGTGTCTGTTCTACGGAAGCCTCTTCCCGCCAAAAGATTTGCAGATGAAATTACTTTATTCTTAAAACGCGACGTTTCGCTATGAGGTTTTGAACAGCGGTAAATAAAAATCATCAATATACCTTTTAATCATACTTTGAGTTTCTGCATCAAGCAAAAGCCGACTTCAGCTCTGGATTTCTCTGTCAAATCTTCCTCCCGATGACCGATGCCGGCTTAAAGCTCCTTAACAATCAAATCCAGGTTATGTTTCTAGACTCTTGTTTTTGAGGGAAAACCATAAATCTACATGTTGAGATACATTGAATTCTAAAAGTATCAAAATAAGTATTCTCTCATTTTCAAATATGAACATTGTCTTTATTATGTTTTTATTATTGGTCTTAAATCATTAGCTAGTTTCTATTTGACAGAAATGAGCTTCCGTACTTCTGAAACATGACTCAACTAAACAAAACATTTGTGTGACAAACAAAATGATGTTTTCAAATATAAATTAATTTGACAATGCTACTGATGACGATGACGACAACAAAAACAACAACAACAACCACACAGACAGGAAGTAGAAAATACATTCTGACCAACAATTTCTAATGTTTACAGTTAAATCTTTACAAAAATGTCCCAAAAGTACATCAATCTTAAGTTCAGGTTCTCCTCTGAGACTCAGCTCCTCCTCCTCTTCTTCACCTGATAACATGGACGCAGCTTTATATGAATCCAAAAGACTAATTATTAATATTAAGGCATTAATACAGATGTTTCACTGATCGATGATTGTTAGGGAGAGGAAGTAAAACGCTTCTCTTTAAATATTTATCACTAAACAGATCTTGAATCAAAGTTTTGGTGTTTGATGTTGACGGACTCGAACGTTGGGATGCTTGATATTTCGTCTCAGGACAAGCGAAGAAGAGGATGAAGGCCATGAAGAAAGGAGCCTCCGGAAACCGGGCAAGGTCACATGATCAACGGAGGAGTTGAGGAGTTCATGAAAAGCACCTGGACCCTTGAAGTGTTTTGAGGGAAGAGGAGTTTAAATACTAAAGGTTCTATTTGTTCTTAGAGGGTCAGTCGGTCTGGTTTCTGGTGCTATGAGGAGCTTAAGTCCACTTGGACCTGAACCACCAGGATGCCACAGGAGGTGATCCAGCTGATAGTCCTGTAGGTGAGAGCTTCTCTACATGAGGGTCCCTGGTCCAAGTCGAACCGGTTTAAGAGTCTCATAAGTGCTGCGAGTCCTGATTGGCTGAAGGTTCCGGTCCACAACCTGCTTCCTGGTCGGACACGTCGGGACCTCTTTAGGAGGACGAGGTGAGGCGGCCCGAGGTCGTGACCCTCGGCGAATACTCCGCCTCCTCCTTGTTGGGGTGGGAGGAGTTATCCGACCTGCTGCGGCTGAACTCCGCCCCCATGATGGGCCCGCTGGACTTGGCCTTGGGGCGCAGGCAGGCGGTGCAGCACAGCAGCGTCTTGAGGAAAGCGCGACGCATCTCGTTGCTGGTCAGCGTGTAGATGAGCGGGTTCATGGCGGAGTTGAGGACGGCGAGGGACAAGAACCATTCGGCCTTGTAGAGGATCGGGCAACTCAGCGTCTCACAGCCGGCGTCCAGCAGCAGGAGGATGAAGAGTGGCGCCCAGCAGGCGATGAAGCAGCTCAGGACGATGATGACGGTCTTCAGCAGGGCCATCGACTTCTCGGAGCTCTTCATGTTGGCGCCGGCGCTTCCCCGGCCGTTGGTCGGCTTGCGGAAGACAAGCCTGCGACTGCGCGCGCGCACCAGGGCGTAGATCCGGGCGTACAGCACCACGATGGCCATGAGGATGATGCTGAAGACGGTGGTGCAGAACAGGATGTAGGTCTTGTGGTAGAGCGGCAGCACCGTGGAGCAGCTGGTAACGCTGCGGATGCAGTTCCAGCCCATCACCGGCAGGCCGCCCAGCACCGCCGCCACCATCCACACGGCGCTGATGAGCAGGAACACGCGGCACGTGTTGCCGTTGTTGTGCAGCTTCATCTGCAGCATGGTGAGGTGGCGCTCGATGGCGATGGCCAGCAGACTGAAGACGGACGCCGCCAGCGCCACAAACATGCTGCCCTCCCTGATGAACCACTGCGTGGGCGTCAGCTTGTAGGTGTTGGCGCCCGACAGCAAGATGTTGGCGGTGTACACGACGCCGGCCAGCAGGTCCGACAGCGCCAGGTTCCCGATGAAGTAGTACATGGGCTTGTGGAACTTCTTGGTCCTCCAGATGGTGGTCAAGACCAGGATGTTCTCCAGGATGATGAAGCAGCAAACAATGATGAAGACCACCGAGTCGGCCTTCAGGCCCGCGTCCTGCTGCGTCTTGCGGTACTTGCCGGTGTAGTTGTAATGTTTGGCGATCAGGTCGGAGTAGTTGGGCTCAGCCATGGCCTGCAGGGGTAGTAGGAGTCCAGCAGGGGGGTCCAGCAGGTGTCCAGCAGGGGTCGCTGTGTCCTCACAATCAGTCCTTCATGTCAGGGAGAGACCCTGAAGAGGGGCAGACCCGGTCCTACTGCTGAAGGGGGACATGGTCCTGCAGAGGAACGGATTCAGGAATCAGGGACGTTTATTGCCAAAATATGTTATGACATACGAGGAATTTGACATGGCAGTCGGTGCATTACATTGGACAGTAGGACAGTGGGACAATGGACAACAAGACAAATAACAAGAAAAATGCCATGTTCAATTTACAAATTCAGATTGTCAGTGGACAAGAAAAAAATGCCAAAACGTCATTTGCGTAATCCAATCCAATTAATTTACAAGTATATATATATATGTATAAACAAACCTGTAAAACTTTCGAACCGGCAAAAAAACATCTTCTAGATGAAATGCGAGAGAGAGATTTGACTCTTTTAGTGTCTTTAGAGGACAAAGTGCAGGGAAATCAATGCCCTTCATATCTGCTGCAGAACATTGAAAACAGTTTTGTTTGTGAGCGAAAACTGATCTCTGATCAGCTGGTTAGAAAACAAACCAAGTTAAAAGTTGTTTTATTTAGAAACGTTCACATTTCCTTCAAGAGATTTAATCAAAAGAACTCGAACTAATTTGAAATTTTCACACGTAAACATGAATTTATTTTATTCCGTGAAGTTTGTGTAAAGAAAGAGATTCAGTTTAGTGTCGAATCGGTTATTAATAAGTTCTCATCTCAACCTTCAAATATTCGTTAAAAATTCCGTCATCGCGTTCTTTCTGACGGCAAACGGGAATAAAAGACGATATTTCATCGCTTTTGTATTATTATTGTTAATGTTATTGCGTCTCTAGTTTTCTCTCCGTTAAACACCGTCGCGATCAACGGAACGCGGCTCGTTCTGCGGATTAAAACTTTGATCAAATTTGACTCGAACATTAAAAATCTTCTGTTTCTTCATCTGAAGTTTCAACGAGGCTTCAGATGAAGTAAAAAAAAAACACTTTTAATCACGATGAGAGTTTTTACCTTCAGAGTCCGGAGGAAGAGTCCGACAGATAGACAGCAGCGGAGACTCACTGAGGAGGAGGAGGAGGAGGAGGAGGAGGAAGAGGAGGAAGAGGCTGCCCTCCTCCTCCTCCTCCTCCTCCTCCTCTCTACATTGTGATTCCGCTCTTTCATCCACATGATCGGATCCATAATGTAAGGAAACAGCAACACTCTTATGTTCCATCAAATATTCAGCTGGATTTTCTGGATTTTATAGATCTTATATATTTTCGACAGTTTGTGAAATCAACATTTAAAGCTTTTTGTTGATTTTCTTCAAAATATATTGAAATCGTCTAACCAACAAATAACGGGCTAATAAAAAAACAATAAAAAACAATATATATATATCCACACAAGTTCATAAGCGCTACAAACTAAGACATGAGATGAAATAAAAATATTTCTGGCCAATTCTAATAAAATATAATATCGTGACGACTTCACTTCTTTTGTTTGTGTGGGAA